GATGTTTCCTTCTGCCTGTTATATACTCTGCACAAAGAATCCGAAATGGGAATTAAACATATGTTCGAATTAATGAGTTGTCGCGATTGCAATGTACTTAATTTTATTGTTAAAGATAGTTTGGAAAATTATTTTCATTATTTGTTTACGATTTCAATTACATTCTTGGGCTAAACTAAATCTTTATAGCAATATTTCTTATTTGAAACATTCAGCAAAGAATCCGCACAAATATATACACATATGAATATCTCCCAAGATCATCAGCATCATTTCGGTTTCCCATTATGCTCATTTAAAATTTCGTCGAGGTAGTTGGGAGGCGAAATGAAAAAAATTGCCGCTACTGCAATTTTTTCCTGACCCACTGAATTCTTTCCTCCCCGCCACCGACTGATTTTCTTTTTCCACCCATGTGTTTTTTCCCGCCTTTGTGTTGTTGTTATATTTTTTGGCGCTGCGTCGATGACACATCCAAAGCGCTTTTTTAGTAACAAGACTTGTTGTTGTTGCTATTGGGTGATTTATTTTATTTCTTACTTCTTGGAGAGGCGTTCGCGCTCGCGCTCGTGTTAATATGTTATTAATAATACATATGCGCATATTTCTTTTACGAAATGTCTTTTTGTTGGCTTGTGTGTCGGAATTTTTTTCCTACGCCATTTTCATTAAAAGCATTAAAAATGGGCAAATGTTTAGAAAAGAAAATGGGGATTTGCCGGCATTTTTTCTGCATCATTGGTTTACTTATTTGCCGTATTTCCCTGCATTTCTAGATAATGTAAACACATTTTTTCCAACCGATTCTATTCAGTGCCAAGCAGTTCTATTTGGAAATGTCGAAACTGTTTGACAATTAAATGACCAACACATTTCTGGCGACTTTAAATAGCTTTATATTTCAATGTGTATATACATACACATGCATGTACATATGTAGATGTACTATATAAATATCTATATGAAAGCAAACGTAAATTCTTGTGCTGTGTCTCCGTTATCGCCGCCATCGCCGTGCACTTAAACTTTATCAATTATTCAGAGTCAAACAAACCCTAACCCTGAACTTGTGCCTGCGACCTTTGACAGAACATGTAACGCCTTGTTAGCCTCGAGCTGAGCGCTCGAACAGCTGATGGCCAGCCTTATGACAATGAACAACTTTTTTTTCACATGACATTTTGCGTTATATATTCTATATATTATTTATATTCGCTTGTACATACCTATCTCACACGTTTTAACCCTGAATAGCGCAGAATTTTTGGTATTGTATGTAAGTAGAAATGAATGTTCTTACAAAGAAAGTTAGAAAGGCCCGAAATTTATTTGATTTTTTTAAAGCATGTTGTCTAATGTGTATCTTAATTATAGGTGTATACTTATTTCTCACGATTTTGATATTGATAGACTATTGTGTATCTTAATTATAGGTGTATACTTATTTCTCAGGATTTTGATATTGATAGACTATTGTGAGATTCACAGCACGAGCTCCTTAATGTATAGCTTGGCTACGATAACGGTTATATATACGGTTTGTAATGAACTTGGTCTGCATATGGATAAGACAAGTCTACATGCCAAGTGTGGTGAATCTAGCTGTCAATGTTACGGAGAGATTGACGGACAGACATACGTACATCTCTATATCGATTATCTCGTTAAGTCTTACTCCCTTAGGTCTAGGTAAAAATTTAACACACAGGGCATTCTAAAGTCAAACTCAATTAAAGTCGAGCTACAATCTTATTATTAGGTTTTTTCATTATTTATTAACTTATACAATTTCCGTGCTGTTTGAATACCGGCTTTAGCTTATTTGAAAAATACTTGCTATATAAATAGAAACCGCCCGCAACTCGGGCGTACTTCGGCATGCACTTAAAAAGTAGTCCTCAAAAGACATGGCTATTATTGATTGAATTCATATTTCATCTAATGTAGTATGTACAAGTATGTCTGCATGTGGCATAACATGCCAGCAAGTTCATGAATCTTTGGTTGGTATTCCATTTATAAGTGGTTAAGGAATTTTTTATTGAATTTTGTAAGACACGCGCCAGAAATTCGATATGCTTTAAAGAGTTTTTTTTAGGGGGCATTTGTACTTTTTGGATATCCATAAAATGTTATATAATTTTTTATAAGTCTAATTTATTAATTGGCCGTCTTATATGGGGGTTATAAACAAAGAATTGGATCATATAAGAATGGGTTTTTAGAAAGCTACACATGCAGTCAAGCAAAACAAAATTTCTATAGAAAATTTGATAAAATTCAATACGGTTGTGTATCAGAATTTGTGATGTCATTTTATTGGAAATTTGTATATTTTTCCATAATCGGCAACTGAAAATTGTGAATAGCGGTGGCGGTGGCGCCAAGATAAAAACACAGCAAACACAAATGTTCTTGCTGTTGCTTTAAATACGCATGACAATATGTTGTCTGATTGACTGGCGACACAATGCAATCAATCTATCAATCGGGCCGGCTGTTCAATCAACGTGCAATTTTTATCTGATATGCAGGGTATTCGAAACGTTGTCAACTTTGATAATTACGATATGTACACATGAACAAAGGAAATAAGCATTTGATGATAAGGCGGCTAATTATATTTACATTTGCATTTAAGGCGTGCCTTCTCGTAAGTGTCTGTGTGTGTGTGCGTGTGTGTGTGTGGGGTGAAGGAACGCGTTTTTGGGTAAAAACAAAATAAAAGCAAATGCAAGATAAAAGCTTGTTTTTAGACAAACTCAAAAATATACGTCAGCGGCTTTTAAATTTCATTGTGCGCTCTATTGATAATAAAGTTGATAGTACATATAAGTGGCTTATATTGTTCTTATCGTGCGTTTTCCTTGTTAACCGGACCGCCATAAACAAGTTTTTAAGGTCTTGGAACTAATTGCAATAAAAACGTGCATAAAGGGGTTTTTTGTTGATACTTGTAGTAGACAATTTATGCCTTTAGCTGCACGAGTTAGTACTGGACGCACCCCTGGATTCTACGAGAATATGAAAGCACATGCATGCATTCTTAGTTTCAATCAAGTGGTCTAGCAACTAAAAACCACTTGACCGAACTTCGTGCATCTTTTAACAGCTTTTAATACTATACCTATGTAGTCATCATACATCTTTGTTTATAAACAAAAGTCTCTTTATATGTCTGCGTGTTCATATGTTCATCCATCATAATATTTTGTTGAATAGAAAAACATTGTATCGACTTTTGCAAAATGTTGTATTCTCGGTGTTCCACAATGATAACGAATGCATATTTCTAAAGGGATATAATTAATTAATTTAGGTCCCACTCGTATTTCTGAATTGAAAGAGAAGGGATAATTTCAGTAAATGAATATGAGTATGGTGTTTATAATACGAAACACTGTGCAGAGTGTTCCTTCCAAAAAAATTTAGAAAACCGTTTGAAATAGGATCTATATAATAGTTGGTACTTAGTTGCGGTCACAACCGTTATGCCGTTTCAACCAGAATGCTGATAAATTGCGATTGCTCCAATGCCAAAAAAGTGGTCAAGTTTGTTCCAATTCAGCTCTATAGCGCCAATTACTTCCTCTTGAATTATTTCCTAGCATATACGAGTATGTTTATATTAAGAAATATATATAAATACTTACATTCTTCAATTTTTTAGAATATTCAATGTGGATAAAATTTGTGATGTGTGACTATCAAAATGGGAATAGACCCAATAGGAAATTTAAGCAAATAGGAGCAGGGCCGATTCTAGTTTTAAGGGCTGATTTAAACCTTATATTTCTTGGATTTAAGAACATTTTTAAAGGTCTACAGACAGACGAACAGATGCGAATTGTGCATCATAGCGACTCATATCGTTTTACTGCCAACAAATTTCTATAGGGCTTTCGAATCGAATAAAAAATTTTTTTCATTTTTTGCCATCAGGAAAGTGTTTTCATAAAATCTGTAAATAAGCCTTTACATAAGTTAATTTTGGGTTTTGTATATAGCAAGTGTAGTTCTGATTTTAATAAAAGGAAGAACTGCTAATTTTCAGCAATGAGAGAATAGGCGTCTGTATAGCATATTAAAAATAATATACTCCTGAAAATGTGTTTCTCCTTTTAAATAACAAATAACAAATCGTACTTGTGCCAGCCATATGACTAACAGACCTCCAAGGTCTTTGTAATGCCACAAACATTTCCAATATATAGTATCTTCTATACACAAATATGCTCAGCATAATGAGACTAGCCGATATAAATATGTTCGTCTGTCCGTCCGTATGAATATCGATATCTTTTGAGTGAAAAATGCTAGAGAAACCAAACATGGTTTGTATGCACAATAAGTTATTCCCAAATCTCATATAGCTCAGTTATTTTATAAAGCTGCCACAGGAACGAGCGATTGAGAAATTACCGTTAAAACTATAAACTTACAGGTCTTTCACATTTGATGTTTATTGTTTTCTTTTATGCATTACTATATTCTGAAGTTTCTTCAAAATGGTAGCCCTATATACTCGTATTACAGTTCCAATATGAATGATCTGTGTACTAAAGTTAATTTAAATTAATTTGATGGCCGTGGGTGTGGGGATGGGTACAGGGGTATAAAAAAGTCAAGCGACTTTAACGTTCTAATTGTATGTTTTGTGTTTTATTTTACAGATTTCATTCGTAGGCGTGTCTTTTGAAAGTGAGCAAAAGGCTGAGTTTGGTATAAATAACTAAAATTTCAACTGTTTAGAGCATTTTTCTCATAAGCGCTAATTTTTGCATTTGCTTTTCTATTTAGTTGCTGTTGTTATGTGAATTTTGGGTGTACGAGTATGTGTATAGTATATTGCCAATGAGTGTGTTGTGCTGTTGTAGTTGGCACAATGAATCATTTGTAGATTGTGTGTAGTATGGGGTTAGTTGTAATGTAAGCCTGAAATGATAACGCAACGCGATTTCTAATGTGTATTTTTGTTGAAATATATATTCCAATAACAGGCACAAGTCAAAACCCAAATGAGCAACACGTGAGTGAGGCTACAATAGTTGTTGCAGCTGGCGGTGGCAGCGGAGGTGTTGGCGTTGGAGGCGGAGGTGGTGCTTGCTCACCGGCTACCAGCATTAGTCCGACAACAATAATAACAACAACAACAGCAGCGGCAGTCGCGACAGCTGCGTTAAATACAACGCCCACAAAAAGTCCACAGGCACAGCCGAGGGTAGGTGGTGGAGGAGCAGGAGGAGCATCAACACCGTACTATGAAGATGGTTATCAGCCGCAACAACAACAACAACAACTGGCGGGCAGTGATAACGGCAATCAGCAACAACAGCAACAGCAACAGCGTTGCGAGGAGGGACAGCTGGAGAGCAGTGGCTCAACATCCACACAACGTCATTCCATAAATTCCAACGAGTTCAGCTCGACACCGAAAGGCACAACAACAGCGTCCCGCAATGGTCTCAATGGTGGCGGCGGTGGTGGTGGACCAGCCAGCGGTACAAGTTCGCCAATAAATTATCAAATACTGAGTAGCGTGCACGATGAATATCCCTACAGCATAGAGTATGAGTCACAGCAACAGCTACATCAACAACAACAACAACAACAACATCAGCAGCAACAGCAACAACACTCGCCACAACTTGCAGCAACAACATCATCAGTTCATAATTTGGAACATTCGAGTGCCAGCAGCTATAGTGCGAATCGGCAGAGTTACGTTTCACCGCCGGCCATTGCCGCAGTGCCGCCCTCATTGCTAATTCCTCAGCGACAATCGCTGCTGCCTTGGGGCACAAATTCTCGGAGTTCGATCATAAACGTGCTGCCCACATATAGTCAAGCAGAAATGCCAGCCTTAGCCGCAATGTCCACAGCCTCTGGCAACGAGCTAATAGCTCCAAGGCCAGGTGAGATAGTGATGCGAAATCTATTTAGTGATTTCACAGCCCAGGCGGAGAAGAAAATAGAGCTGGTTATGCTGGAGAGCGCCGATAAGAATCTGTCGAAATTATTGCAGCGTGGCGAGGATCAGCAATTTGATCAATTGCTGTCGGCTCTCGGTTCGGTGGCTGAGCACTGTCTGCCTTCGTTGCTGCAAACACTGCTGGCTTGGCACCGTCGACAACTTTCGGATATGGAAATAAAGAACGATCTCAAGCGCTTGGACAAGCCGCTGACAAGCGCGCAATCGGCGCAGAAACCTGGCGTTGATTTGGATTTGCAGCTGCAGAGACGCGAGGCGGCTGTGGAGTTCATTTTTTGTTTGGCACTTATCGAGATACTCAAACAGTTGCCGTTTCATCCTGGCCACGAGGATCTGGTGCGCAGCATTGAGAATCTGGCCTTCAAGCATTTCAAGTATAAGGATGCTCTCCAAAATAATCCCAATGCCCACAATATACACATCATTGCGGATCTGTATGCGGAGGTAATTGGCGTGTTGGCCCAAAGCCGCTTTGCATCGGTGCGTAAGCGTTTCATGAGCGAACTGAAAGAGCTTCGCGGGAAGGAGGTGTCCACCACCACTACACAGAGCATCATCAGCCTGCTGATGGGCATGAAATTCTTTCGCGTCAAAATGGTGCCGATCGAAGAGTTTGAGGCGTCATTTCAGTTCATGCACGAATGTGGTCAGTACTTTTTGGAGGTGAAGGATAAGGATATCAAACATGCTTTAGCTGGACTCTTTGTGGAGATACTGGTGCCAGTGGCAGCGGTAAGTTCTATACGATATGCTTCAGTTTCTTCACTTCTCACTCTTTCTTTCGCTGCAGGCTGTAAAGAACGAGGTGAATGTGCCCTGTGTGAAGAACTTCGTGGAGCTACTCTATGTGCAAACTTTGGATGCTTCGACCAAGTCAAAGCATCGTTTAGCGCTCTTTCCCCTGGTCACCTGTCTGTTGTGTGTGTCGCAGAAGACCTTCTTTTTGACCAATTGGCATTACTTTTTGGCCATGTGTCTGAGCAATCTAAAGAATCGTGATCCCAAGATGAGTCGCGTGGCTCTGGAGTCCCTCTATCGTCTCCTATGGGTGTATATGATACGCATTAAGTGTGAATCCAATTCGGCAACACATTCGCGACTGCAGAGCATTGTGAATTCACTTTTTCCCAAGTAAGTAGATTACGTCATGGTCAGAAGGGGAAATATTTTGCACACAAATTGCACAAATTTCTCAAGAATATTACTTCGTATTCAACAAACTAATTGTGGAAGAACATATATGTGTGTGCAAATTATTTACCTTAAAAATGGAAGAATATGCAAAACTATGTATTTTAAATGGCATTTCTTTGCAGGGGTTCCAAGGGTGTTGTTCCACGCGACACACCTCTGAATATTTTTGTCAAGATCATTCAGTTTATAGCGCAGGAGCGTTTGGATTTCGCGATGCGTGAAATTGTCTACGATTTGTTGTGTGTGGGTCGATCCATAAAGCTTATACTGAATCCGGAACGTATGAGCATTGGACTGCGTGCTTTTCTCGTCGTTGCCGACGCGCTGCAGCAAAAGGATGGCGAACCACCCATGCCCCGCACTGTGCCTGTCCTGCCCTCTGGCAATACACTGCGCGTTAAGAAAACTTACATTAATAAAATGCTTACGGACGATACTGCACGCAGCATTGGCATGTCCACATACTTTCCGCATGTGCGTCGCGTCTTTGTCGATATATTGCGTGCCTTGGATGTGCATTATGGCCGGCCATTGATGATGACCAATACGCAGAACCAGAATAAGGAGCCCGACGAGATGTTGTCCGGCGAACGTAAGCCTCGGATTGATTTGTTTCGCACGTGCGTGGCTGCCGTGCCGCGTCTCATACCCGACACGATGACAGCTCAAGAGCTGGTGGATCTGCTCTCTCGTCTAACTGTGCACATGGACGAGGAGCTGCGCATATTGACACACCAATCGTTGCAGACGCTGGTCATCGACTTTCCGGATTGGCGTCAGGATGTCGTGCACGGTTACACACAGTTTCTGGTGCGCGATGTCACCGACACCTATCCGCAATTGTTGGAGAACTGTACGCGCATTCTGTTTGTGTTCCTAAACATATGGCGTTGCGCTATTTATATTAATGGCACGACAGCAGGTGGTGCCACCACCGGCAGTGCTGGTGGCCCCGCTGGGGTAGCTGGTGGTGGTGCCGTTGCTGGCATGGGTGGTACTGCTGCTGCTAGTCAACTGAAGCCCACCACCGCTGTTACTGGCGTAAATGTGGTGACAACCACGAATGTTATCCAAACAACTGCCGCTGTTGCTTCGCCTCCGAATACGACGCATCTTCTTCAGAGCGCCATTGGCAAGGAGACCACCAGCAGCCAGTTGTCCAGCAACAAACAGCAGCATCTGAATACCGCGTCCAGTGCCGCATCCAGCATAACCACATCGAGTGGCATGTCGAGCATTACGCAGCACACGGTGCTCAACATGAGCGCCGATGTCGGCAAGAAGAACGAGATACCGCTCATGACTACGCTGCACTTTGTCGAGGGCTTCGCTTTGGTGCTGCTCTGCAATTACAGGCCATATTTGCGTAAATTGGCCGCCATGATCCTCAAAGAGGTGAAGAATCTTATGCGTGCTTTGGGTATACCGGAAACAGAACCCCCACTCATCGATGTTATGGATCGTTGCTGTCCGCAAATAATTGAGCGCTGTTTGCCTTTATTGCCGCAAACGGAGAAGACGGCCATACTGAATGCGAATTGCATTGATCTGCAATGGATAGCCGAACGTACCAGCGGTGTTTGGCTCGCTGGTCTCACTGATGGTAAGCAGAAGTTACAATATATTGATTTCCTATAGTAATTACTGTTTCCTTTTTCCCCAGACAACTCGAAATCCTCCACCTCGACGCTCAATCTCTCGCAGTCAAGTGGCACAGCGGCCGCTGCTGCCACAGCTGCAGCAAATTCGGCTAGCTCATCACAACAACAATTCGATCCTTGGGCCACTTGTCTTTTTGGCCTTCTCGAACGGCCTCGCATTTTGCAGCAATGCCCTTCAGCAGTGGCGCAGGCCTGGCCCATTTGCTATGCCCGTCTAAATGCACTCTACAGTGTCATAGATCCAACGTAAGTAATTTCCGATTGATGGAAAATATAAAAAATACAATTAAGCCATAAAATATAAATCCAAAAAAAACTTTGTTTTTGGAAAAAGTATTGCTTTTAATTGAAGTAAAAATAATAAACATATAATTGATAATTATTATAATTACCTTATCTATTTCTTATTCCCAATATATTTTATTCACCAGTCCTGTCAGTGATAATCGCGCCTCTTTATTACGCGGCTCAGCACCTACAAAGAAAATGCCCACCGAAAGCCAAAGGGATTCGTATTTGCGTCTATGGCGGAACCAAGTGGCCTGTGCCATGCGTCTGGTTCCCCAAATACCCAGCGTGGCTGTCCGATGTGCTTCGCCCGATCTAAGCTTGAGGTAAGTCAAAATTCGGATAGCATTAATAACAAATCACAACAAAAACATATCAGCATTCTCAGTCCATTTCGTGTGTCAGTTTTTAACTAAGCAATTCTACTATTCATAGTACTAGTCCCAATTCCTTAAGCCCTAAATGTTTGCAAATATCCCTGCATGTAAATCACTACATTCTCTGTTTTTTTTTAACTATAACTGAACTGAATGGACAATTGACTTCAATAGATAAGTATTGTCAAAAACAATCAATAGATAAGTATTGTCAAAACCCCAAATGTCAAATATTTCCTACACGTAGTACCGAAAACTTCACAATTCCGCATTGGTTTTTGGAATTTATAAACGATAATAAATTGTAGTATAAAATATATTAAAGTGACATGCGTATTGAATTTAATAAAACTGAACAAATTCTGGGCTTTCTTTCCCGTATTTGATTAAAAGTTTTAAAAATAAAATGAATTAAAGTAACATTTTTCCAATTCCACAATTCGACCTACGTTTTAAACTGAAAACTTTTTTAAGCATGTTTGAAGTTTTGCTGTTTAAATGAATCGCTTTATTGGGATAATGAGGATGTTCAATGTATATCTGTTGCACCCATGATTATAAGACTGAATAATCAAATAATAAATTATTGCGAATTAATGTTTGATTTGAAATAAATTCATTTGATGATGCGGAATTGCGTGAGCTCGGTTTTACTCTGACTGCGTGTTTCCGCAATCAACAAATTAAATATATTTAAAAAATGGAAACAATGTCGTCGATTAAGATTTACTTAGAAATGAAATTAAACCAAAACTCGCGAATTACTTTTAAATTCACTCATTCCAACGCGAAGCACTCAAAACTGCATATTTGAATGAAAACTAACAAATAAAATTATACAAATTAGATATAGATTCTAATTTAGCAAAAACTTTTCTTATTTAAATGGTTTAATTGCCTGATATCTAAATAGAAAGGTTTTCACAGCTTGTGAATTCAAATCACAATTGCCTTATGACAATAGGAATTTGGAAGTGCATAGCAATACAAAATTATATTGTAAGTAATTTTATTGTTGTTTAACATTTTACATTCCAATGACTATTGATGCCTCGTTGAATAAGGCATTTATATGCAGACACATGTACATATCCTTACCTATTTGTATGAAATTGTGTCTGCAACTGCACGTGTACGCGTGTTGGTTTTGGGAATGTGATATCTGTTTTAATACATTCGCATTTTATTGAAAATGTCTATTTGTTTGTCAGGTGTACCTTCTAACAATAAATTCACACTCAATTCCACACATGCGTACAGAAAACGCACATCAACACATCAACGCTATACAAATATGCAAATATATATTGCAATATCTGCATAAAATGCAAACTTAGCAGTCAGCTGCATATACAAGTATTGGACAGCATAAGAATAACAAAATATTTGCAAGCAAACACTCGAACATGAAATTATTCTAATTGAAATTATTTGTTTCGTGTTTTGTGGCCATTCTTTGCTTATTTCCATTCAAGTTATTTTCAGATCTGTAATTAAAAATGTGCATATTGCACAAAATCATATATGTATGTTTTATCATCGAAGTCGCTCATTCGCCGTGTTGTCCTAAGGGTGTGTAAATAAGCTTCATCAAATTTTTCAATTCTATTCGTTGTGTCTATCAAGTACCGTTATTAACTATTAGACAGCATGCTTAAATTATTTACACCTCATTAGCTATTTAGTGTTTCAATTGATTGGGTTCATAAACGTGTGAAATTAGCATAAATGTGAATATTTAATGATGCGCACAAAGAATAACATGAGAATATAGCCACAATTTAAGGGCGAAGCTAGATTCTCATTCCGTTGATAAGTTAATTAAGTTGCGCTCCGTTTTGCTTCGATTTGATTGATTTAATGTGTGAATTAATTGTAAATGCTTAATTGGTGAATACTTAAATAGGTTTATTGTGTCATAATATTAGACCGGGCTCACTGAGACTTAATTGAATGGCAAATATATTTATATAGTGTTTAATTAGTCAGATTATTTATTATTCACAGACAGTTTAAATGTTTTTCTTTACTTCGTAGCATTTAACCCAATTAGAATTTAAGTTTAATTTTTAGATTTTTAGATCGTCTTTTTTTTTGGAACTTTATATAGCTGTGTTTAATTTCGATTTACTTTATTCCGAGGTACATGCAACTTATTTTAGATTGTTTGTTTCATACAAACAGCATAACAGGATAGTATACATATCTGAAAAAAAAAGTTCGACTTAGACCAAAATTTTATTTTGATTGAAGGCAGTGAAATTTTATTGTGGGGTTTATTACTAAGCACTGCAACGAATAGAAAGCGCACACATTTAATCTGATATTTCTCACTAAGAAGACTTCTAAGCCATAACAAGAACATAAGAAAGACTAGACTAGTTACGTTCTTCTTGGAACGTTCATAGCACAGAAAAACCAAGTCAACGTAAATGCAGACAAACGTATTATGACTAAGATTGGAGAGACGTGGACATGCCCATAAGTGGAAAGAAATATGGGATGATCCTTAATCAGCAAGAACAAACCAAGGCTTGTGCAAAATTAAGTGAGAAAATTTAAAACCAATTTCTCTTTAATTTATAAAGTAAAGCAAGACGTTATCTAAACCACAACAAGTAACACAAGTAGAAGTTGGAAAAAAAACGAATAAAGCCGCATAGCTTCATAAAAAACAGATAGTTGGTTCTATCGAGCAATCGTTGTCTATAATTTAAAATTTGGCAGGAAAATTATTAGTTGGCAGGCAATTTGCACTTGCGGCTTTCTGTTTAGCCTTTTCTTTTCTTTACAAGACAAAGAAAGTATCAAGAAACGCCATTTACCATTTTATAAGAAGCAATATGTCATCAACATTATATGTCCGTTCCACTCTAACTTTGTTGGGAAAAAAGAAGGTCAATTATTTGCCAGATATGGACAGATTTTGAAAGTTTGAAAAGTAAGGACACGCCGGGGAGAATATAATAAAATGAAAATCAGACTGGCACAGATTGGGGAACAGCTTTTATACATTGTTTATAATTATATTATTATATATATGCATAATTATTGTTAAGATATAAACAATTGGATAACAAGTTTACAAATCAATTTAACAAAGAAAATAAAGTGTGCAGTGGCCTTATCTTATATAAAAAAAAATGGAAATAATTAATAAACACGATCTCAAAATTGCATAATATGTATAAACTTATAAAGCTACAAAAAAAGTTATTTACTGAGCGCTGGAAGAATGTATATTTTAAATTAACCAACACCAGGAAATTGTGTTAACTGCATTCAATTGAAATGTTTTATGTTGAAATCTCAACGCACACACATCCATACACCCACACACACACACACACACACACACACACAGAGTGCATACATTAAGCCAATATTCATCACAGTACCGAGTCCTTGTCACACTGCACGAATGGGAAATGTCAATAAAAGTAGAGTGCGATGCGCTTTCCATCTGCCACAACAGTAATAAATGTGTTCACAGCGTCAACCATATAAAAAATATTTGTGTTTATTGAAAAATATGGCTAACAGGACAGGCAGACAGACAGACAGATAGACAGACTCACAGACAGAGAGACGGACGGAGAAAACGTGAACTTGTGAATCGCTCAGCATTGTTCTCCATTCAACCACCAATCACACATACTTGTATACACATAAATGTACATATTTTGTACACCGTACAAAACTTTACTTGCCATTTTATGTACAATATTGATTGTAATTTATAGTTTACAAGATCAAGCGGATTCACGTTCGCTATCCGATTCCTTGGACAATATACCGTCAAATGTATTTGGGCCCGAGGGAATTGTCACACGTTTCACGTTGCCGCTCTCCTATGGACGCAAAGAGGCGCGCCAGAAACGACTTGGGTAAAGCAACAACAACAATAATAATTTAAAAAAAAAAACGAAAACTAAACAAGCTATGTAGATAAATACATAGTATGAGAAAAAGAGCAAGAGAAAGATATATAAGTACATACAAATATATATGAACTTTACAATTTCCCAGTATGTCTGTAGTTGGTTTGTGCGTGTGTGTGTGTTTCGTTCGGCTTTGACATTTGATTCAATTTGTAGCAATTAATTTGTAGCATTGTAATAATTAATAATTGGACATTTTGCTTTTGCATACCCTTGCATATTTAAATATTGCTTGCCCTACATTGCCTTGGCATTTGCTTTCTCGCTTGGCCCGACACAAACACTTCATTTATTTTGCCAGCATTGTGCCAAGCAATTTGTTTGCTTGTTTGCTTTTGTCTTTGCCTGCCACGCCCCTAAACGCCTACGTCCTCACCTACTTATATATGTATATGTATATATACATGCAGATGTGTATGTTTTATATTTTTTGCCGCCTGCTGCAACATTGAAAAATCATTACAAAAAGAAGTTTATTTATTTTTCATATACGAGTAGAACGCACAATTTTCTTCTCCTTTTTTTTTATGGCGTGACCGCCTTGCCGGGGCAACAAATTTGTTTGCTGTCATTTATTATGATTCCCCAGTTGTTGTTAAATATTTAAATGTAGAATTGTACGGTTGGCAGCGCCCGCTTCATGTAAAGGCAATAAAAAAGCTTTAATTTAGAATTTATTGTTTATTTAGTTGCGTGGCGGACTGTCTTATGCCTTAAATGTATTTTTATACTGTAAATACATATTTAGTTAGCTGTTTTCCCTTTTGTTTTCGGTGCCAAAGGCGTCCTCGTTTTTTGTCTTTGTGCCTTTAATAATCAGCAGTGATCTGAGAGTCACGTTCCATTCGTAGACGATATCCAGCAGCAAAGGCTAATGGGCATTGGTCATTGAGAAGCTGTTGAATGACCCACAATTTAACACTACAGAACATGTCTACAAAAATTGATTCTAAAAGCCTAAGATAATATAGTCCATATGGTGTTCGTGAGATTCAACCGGAATAAGACGTTCTAGAAGTCTTTAATGGACATCCATTTGGCTGCCTGTGGAGTGTGTAAAAATTTTACGATGTAAATAAGTTTGCTGACAACAAAAATATCTACCTTTGACTGTATAGTAAAGGGGACTTGCTTTTGTTATTAGAAAAACTAGAAAATAGAAATTCTATTTTCAAATGCTAGCTATAATTCTGATCAGCTATAATTTACTCGTCCATATTACTTTACCTGCTTTGTTGTATTTAAAAATACATTCTTTTTAAATAAAACGAAATTTTAAACAAATATATAAAAGAAACTGCAAAAGTATTAGGCTGCCAAAAGGTTGAAATACTTTAGAGAGTGCATAGTCCTTGCCATTGCTTTAAAATCAAATTTCCTTCATAGCTACTTAATTGGAAAATATTTTATGTTCCCAAATTATGGAATTAAAAAACTATTTATGTCTGCTGCAAAACTTTTAAATAAATATTCTTAAGAGATAATGAAAACTTGAAATTAGTTTCGACAAAATTATTCAAATAAAAATATAATTTCGGCTAACAAATCTTTCATAAAACGAATAAATAAAACATAAAATTTGAAATTTTACAAGGTGCGTCCCAAAAGAAAAATAAATTTGTAAAAATGTTAACATAGAATTGAAATTTTTGTAAAATGAGTGCGGACTCAAACAATGATTTGAACGATCAAGAAGCATTTCGAATAGGCGTTTAAATTTTGAGTGTTCTCAATAAATTGTAATTCTTTTTGAAACGTAGAAAAAAATTAACAATAATTTCATTTTTGACTTCTCCAAACGGCTTGGTATCTGCGTGCTTTCATTCGGCACCTTGAAGAGTGATTTCAGGATCATATTGGAAACAAAAATATTAGTCTATTTTTAAATTTGTAAATTTAAATTTTTAAATTTGTATTACTTAATAATAATGGTAATTTATTTTCTGGCAACTTCAATCAATTGTATTTCCTTCAAAGCCACGTGACAAAAATGGCAAAAAAAAAAACTCGACAACTTAAACGCTGCTGTTAAGTTAATAAATTAAAGCCCCAGACTGTAAAATCAATTTCAGCCTCATTAGGTTTATTGGCGCACAAAAACGAAGGAAATGTGAGAAAAGGCGCCTAATATTATGCGCTTGTCTTGTCTTCATTTCGTTGAATGATTTAAAGTGACAACTTCATGCCCCTTGTGCTCCACTTAATGCAATTTTCAAATGTTTAAGGCGTCGGCAGGCAATGTCCAAAATGCCAAAAATAAAATAAAAAAAAACCACTCCGACACAAGCAACCAAAACGGATACGCAATATAAACTGGCACTAAAATGTTCGACAATAAATTTGTTTTACAGCTCATCGCCGGATTCCCTGAATGCCGATCGCAGTGACAAATCCGCTATGGGCAGTGCCTCACCACAGGCCCTCTACAAGCTCGTCGTCCCTCTGCTCCGCTGCGAAGTGCCCGACGTTCGGGATGCTGCCGTCAATGCGCTGGGCATGATAAATCATGATGCGCTCAAGTAAGTGGTGTAACAACTTTTTTTTTCGCCCACTTTCTTTATTCCAACAGAATGCGAGTGAAAAGGTTAAGAATTCAGTCCATTTGTTTTGACAAACGACTTGACTGCGAAGATATATGTAGTGTTGCAACTAACTTTCTTTAAAATTCCTTTAAACACCGTTATTGCATTGTTCTTTAAATCGAACACAAAATAAAATCAAAGTACTTATCACTTATTCACTATCCATATAAAGGCAAGGAAAATCGAATTTACATTTATTTAGATTACATTTTTGTATCGTTGAAAATATAGCATTGTTATTAGATAAAATCAAAGAATTCTTTCCAATCAACTATATCATATTTGTATTTAAAAAGTATTCGATTTATGGTCAGTATTTTAATTTGATAGGCAAAAATATTAATACGGTTCTTAAAAATAACAATTCTCGTCTTTAATATACAAGTACTTGTATGTATGCAATAACTTCAAGCTGCTTTTTGATTATTAGCTCGTTCTTATTCCAAATCAAACAAATATTTCCTGTCAATAATTTATTGAACAATTTTAAAAGTATAAACTCATATTAGGTTTTTTTTTGGTAACCAACAATATTGTTTAAACCAATATTTTCCTAAATCTTACAAATCTTGTTTTCAGCAAATTAATTCATAAACAAAATTATTAAATTGCAAAGATAAATTGATAAATATAAAATATTGGCTATTTGACAACAGGTTGATTGTTATTTTGTGTAAACTGTTTTGAAGCTATAAAACGGTTTAATTGTGAGTTTTAAAAGGTTAAACGACGAAAATATTCCATCTATTTGTAGTATGGTTCCCGTTTAGCATTATTTTTAAATTATTAGTTATAACTATTAAGGGTATCTTCTACTGCTACATACTTGAAAAATATTTTACAACTATATTTTTCATTTAGATAAGGGTAGACTGCCAGACTGAATCTTGAGATTTTTGATTCTTTTTTTGTTTGAAAAGAATAATAAAAGATATAGTCAATCGAGTTTGTTCTGCCCTTCCATATTTCTAAAGGCTGCTAGTCAAGCTTAGAAACAGGAAGAGTTTTTATCTTACATTTGGGACTTTAATAATTGCGACATTAAACGATTATTTAAATTGTGTAGCAAGAAGTAAAACACTTTTCTGCTTTGCCTTTTGGTCGGTGTAGGGTATCTCATAGTCATAGATATCCAAAAAAAAAAAACAAAACAAAAACAAGCGTTTTATGTCTACAGGGATTTAATGGAGGAGCTGGTTGTCTACATCCGTGAAGCTGTTGATCGCAAACAGGAGAACATGAGGCGTCGACGCAGACGGGATGCTTTGCGTTTGCAGGTAGTACGTGTGCTCGAGAAAATTGCTGAGAATGGCACATTTGGAGTGAGGTGAGTTCGCGTAGAGTTAACCCAAATTTGAGAAGTCAAGGTTATGAATATATGTACACTTTTATTGCTCTGCTGGGTAGTACCTGTGTGCTGGAACGTGACACCATGTCTCTACATCCCACGTTCGTGGAATACATTGAAGGCGCCATGGCCTATCTTGTGGCCGAGACGGACAAGGATAATCTGAGTATACGCGAGGTGAAGGCTCATTTTTGCAATTTCATACGGAAAATGATAAAGAACTTTTCGTGTAAGTTGACAGACAGTCCACAGTTACGACTAGTTGGTCCCGCTTCTATGCTCTGTTCTATTTAAATTTATCTTTTCGCTACAGTGGAAGCCTGTGCAACATTGCTGACTCGTGACTTGAAGCGTAATCTATTCAATTTGTTTGCCACCTGGTGTGGCAGTTTTTCGAAGCCATTGTGCATCACATCGCAAATAGGTCAGACAGTGGAGGAGGAAAAGCTTCAGTTTAGCGCTTTGCAGGCAAGTGAAAGTTTAATAGTGATGGTCTAAAAATAAATAACAAACAAGAAAGGAATGCTAAAGTCGAGCAGGCTCAACTGTTAAATACCCTGTACCACCCCACAAAAAAATAAATTAATTTTATTTAATTAATTAATTAATTTTATTTAATTAATTAATTAACATGGCTATATTGACTCGGCTTGTCATGCTGATCAAGAATATATATACTTTGTGGGGTCTGCCACGCCTCCTTCTGTGTGTTACATGTACACTCGCACAAAACTAATATACCCTTGTACCCTTTGGGTACAGGGTATAATAAATTGATAATAAATTAAGCCGGATTTCGTCATTTTTTATGCGTCGCAGAAATAGTAAAATTTGTAGTATTATTCAACAAAATTACTTTTAACTTTTGAAAACTAAACTAACTATGCTTTTCTGTGACGCAAGAGAAGGATGAAAACAATATTTTTACAAAAATGTTACCGATTTATTGAAGAAAGTTTGCTGTTACGACTAATTATTAGATTTTAATAGCATTTAATGAGACGGGCGAAGAATTAGCAAATGAATTGTTCAGACTTCGTTTAAAGAGGGTAAAAAGTTTGTGCAAAGACAAAAGGAAACATTTCCGACCTTATAAAGTGAATATGTTATTAACCAGCATGAAGATACAATTATCCGAATAGATGAACGTCTGGATTTCAGAAAAGTCTGAGGTGATTCCACTTTGACGTGCTTTATAGACTCTCCCAGTTCTTAAACACATAACAGAAGTTTAATTTAATTTTTTTTATTCATTCATTCAAATTTTTATTTTTGTATAAAAGAGGCTGCAAAAGTAATTCCCAAAGAAGTTTATTGAAGTGTATAAAAAACTTTTTATCTCACTTAATTCAAGTTTTCCTATTTTTATAACATGTTGCTTCTTAAAGCCCCAAACGCTTAGCCTTCAATCGAAACAAGATTGCATTTTGGTAAACCCTCTGTAATGTAATAAATCACCAGAAACTAAAATATTTAGTACACATTATAATTAAAAATTGACATATGTATATATTTCAATTTATATTTATATTTTGAGAACGGGTTTTCGCATTATATGCCCATCACTAAGGTTGGTTGGCCAACTTGAAGTCAGTTCAAAGAATCGCCGCCACTTCTGCTGTGCGATAAATTGCTAAGCGCATTAGGTTGATGACTTTACGCCTGGAAAATTGTGGGAAACTTTTCGCACGCTGAAGTTTCTCATTGCTTTTCGCTCTTCCTTCTATTATTCACAGGCTATGTCGGCTCTTCTGTGCTGCGGCCACATCTTTTACACACCACACCTACAGGACGAGGGCATCATTTATAAATGGCTTGACATGCTGCTGACCTCAAAGGACGAAAAAGTAAGTGTACATTTTGTTATCCCAATAAATCAACCAATTTACTCACCTCACTCATTACACAGATTTATCAATTGGCAAGGGATACTGTTGTGCTGCTTTTGGAATCAAATCCAGATATGGGACAGTTGCTCGAATGGGTTATAGATCGTTGCTATACCTCGACGCCCCGAGAGGCGGACGCCTGCTTCCTAGCACTCGCTTCCATCTTTAGTGCCAAGTAAGTAACAAAACTATAGCTGCAGAGCCCCACATAATGCTAAAGCGCATTAAGAATCGACCCTGTATTTTACACAGCCAGTGGGTGGCTGCAGACGTGTGTGTGTGTTTGTGCACCTAAGTAGCATTTCACGTGCGAGTTGGTGATGCCTTAAATTAAACAAGGCCTCCATACTTTTTAATATTTTTCTTAAATGCCGTGCACGTTTCACATTTTCACTCGTTACGCACATGGGGACTGAAAACACACATATGCTCAGCAAATTGCGCTTTAAATTGTCATTTTGGTGTACACGACCAATTTTTAAAAGACGATTTAAGCACTTTTCGTAATTGATATATTAGTGCTCCGTTTTAAAGCTTACAGTTCAAATTTCTTCAAAATAGTCCTTCAAAGGTCAATCGTTCAATCGTTGTTAGCTTGTTGAAAGCGCGAAACTCTTCCATTCCTACCCGAATTCGCACAATATCTATATATTCTTTCTTAATATGTATTCATTTGCATTTATTTTCCGAATATATGATCGAGCTAAGACCTCGTTCGACACGTTTTCGATAGCCCTAACCCTTTCAGACCCTGATGCATCAATTGTGTGGGAAGGTTCTGTCCACAATATTTTCATTTATAATTCACGAATGTTTATAAGACCTAAACGCATCGATTGTGCATGTTACGTTGTTGTTTCTGTTTGTTTCTCACATTGTTCCGCGGTTTCCCTTACCGAACATGAGTGAATTTCTCGAGAAACTGTTCAGTTTTGAATAAATAAACTGCAGAAGTAAGAAGACACTTAATTGAAATAAGCGCGAATTTAAACAAAAAAATTTTAGTATTTAAAATGAGTTTCAGTCATTTGTGGCAACAATAAAAATGCTTTTCAGTTACAATTTTAAACGGCTGTCCTGAAAATCCAAGTCCTGAATACCCATGAAGGATATTAAAATTGCGAAACGTACACATTGAGAAAATTTTCATAAAATATAAAGAGCATATATTTCGAAAATCATAAAACAATATCCAATGGTTTGGCGTGGGGTCTGAAAGGGCTAAGGTAACTCTCTCTCTCTTTCTGTGCTTATATACTCGTGTATATACTTTGCTGTCGTGTGAACTGACAGCTTCAAGTACCTTTCACACATTTCATTTTTTCTGTTTTTTTTTTTTTCGTATGTACCCACATATGCTGTGTCGTGCCACCATTGCCACAGGCTGTCCTGCACTTTGCACTTCACTCTGTTGTTCTTGTTGTACTTTTCCGTGCAACATCTGTTTGCGTGTCTGTTGCACATTTTCCATGGCAGTACAAATGAAATCTCATATTGAGGCTGCAGCTTGCATCGTTAACTGAGATTTAAGAACGAATATAGCCCGAGTCTTTAAAAATTGAACTTGAACATGTGTTGCTAAGTTCCCCTTTTCCTTAACTTAATAGGTATGCCAATGCCAATCCATCAAATATTGAACATAATAGTGAAGGACAAAAATGCCAAATGAATATTTATTGTGTTCTAATGACGGGCATGCCAAAATGATGAAATGCCGATGAAGCAAATTGAATTTTTTATTGTATACAAGACGACATTGTGGTTTTGTTTGTTGCGCATTGTATAGAAATGCAATCTATTTGCTTTTTTTGTTAAAGATATTTACGAAACTGAAGTACAACATATACGGGTATAGTAAAAAGTTTCATTCAAAAAAGAACAAAAGCTTCTCAAGTTGTTCAAACCGACAAGAACAGCAAATCTTCATAAAAATTTGTCAGCTTTTCGTATGCAGATTTATAAAATATTTTAAGTACAAACAAAAATGGAAGTGTAAATTGAAAAGGTCAACTAGCAATAAAAAGGCTGACATTATTAACACGGCTGGGGTTTTTTTTCAAGTGGATACACGAGGAACGTTTCACAATATGATTTTTTTTTTTTGTAAACGCTTCTAAGAGGGTTATGAGCAAACAGCTTGAAAAGATGGCATGCTAAGAGTATTAAAGCATTTGATTATTTATTAAAAGTTTGCAACTTAAAAAAGGAAAAGAAACGGCGAAGATGGAAGCAAACCCTTTTTAAATTGAAATGGGAACAATTCCTACTTGTGCACAATTGAGTTGTGTTTTCATGTTCGCATTTTAGAGTGATATGTTGAAACAAAGCTATCCAGAGGTTTAAAAGGTGCCATTAATTGTGTTTGGCAATTGATTTGTTTAGTTATAAATAAAAAGTAAATGCAAAGATTCAGTTCAGCTTGTCAACTAAAGGGAACTAAATATTCAAATGGTAAAAATAGGTGAAAACTATATACCTTATAGCGTTCTATAGCTTAAAACATATTTTCTATAGCTTAAACACATTTGATTCCCAATAATTAGACAATTTTCAAATATTTACTGAAGGGCTTGGCTACCACATCAGTATCAGTATCAGTATCAGAACTAAACTGAAAACCGGATATCTTTAGAATATTTATGTGACAAAAAAGGAAAGGTTCGAAAGCTTCTTCAAATTGCGATATGCGTAATAAATTCAAATGTATTCTCACTGAACTGTTGACTTGTTCTGTCTTTTCCGCAACCATTTATGCAATCTGTTCCCAATATGAATAAATCGACCCTTAACGATTCCCCAGTTACTTTGCCATTAAAAGCACATGGTTCGAAATAAAAACAAGTACAAGTACGACAAATTGGCACTTGTTATATAAACTGAAAACCGCAACAGACTTATTAACGATTCTCCATGGATATACACACCAGTGTGGCAGCTCATGTGCAACTGCAAACGAGCCAATAGCTTTGCACTTTTTAAGAATTTTTCTTATATAAATACGAGAAGGCAAAACCGTAGCATACTTTTTTGCGTTACTCGAGAGCAATGCATTGTGTATGCAAAATGAAAATCGATTGCCATAAAAATGTATAACTCAATGTGCGCGTGAATCAATTGGAGTGAGAAGGAGTGGGTTTTCATATATTTATTTAAGTACATGTGTGCAAGTGGCTTTGTGAGTGTCGGTGTTTTTGTTTATGGGTGCTTTTGCACCAACGGGCAAAGTAAATTGTTGTGGGATGCCGAAAAGGGCATCAGCTCGCTCCTACACTAGAACTTTTCTATGGAATATGGTTTGCATACCTATGGGGAATAATAATAAAGAGAATATATGTACGAAAAATAGTTATTGATATTTTAACTTTGCTTTGCGGAAATAAACGGAATCCAAAGGCAAAATGTTAATAAGGGCTTGAAGTTATTTTCAAAAGCGCTAGGGTTTTGATTGATTTTGTTTGAGAAATAAATTTTTTATTGAGTTAATTTCCAGTAATTATTTTGTTACGAAAGCAATACCGCACGTCTTTAAACTATCATCATAACCAACTTTTAGTCAATAAGGTTAAATGTTAAAGATATGTGGAAATATTAAAATGTTTTATTATCTTTTTGTCGAACTAACTTTATTGAGTTATTTAGCTTTAACTGACTCCATCACATTTTGTGTCAAGCTTTTATAAAAGCACTCTCTGTATTTATTTGTCAGCCTAATCTGATTATTCTAATAGCAACAAAAATTCATTCAATTTCGATATGCAATAATGCATTTAATAAAAGCAGAAATTGATTGTACGACTATACAAGTAAGTGCGGGGTCTTTTCACATCCGAATACTTTTAATGTTTTTTGTTTGATTTTAATTTATTTTGAGCGCAGCATTGATTTATTTTAAATACTACACAGTTAGAATATATTGAATTAAAATTTGCTCTATGACGCATTTGTGGTAACACAAACATACTATACATACAGATATATTGTATGTATTGTACATATGTACGTGAATGTATTAATATTAAAATTTTGAGTTTTGAATGAGTGATTAGGCTTATGAAAAAGTTTTGCATCTTATGTGGCTGGAGTGGCATCCGCTTGGATTTTCATACTTTTCACTTACACTTCGGGAAGGCCACACCTGAAAGCCACAGAGTATTCACAGCAGGAAGCTCATTAAAATTCTTTGTGCTTCGGTGGCTTTCAAATATTTACACGCTTAACCGGCACGCGACCAAGCGCAGATTATAAACAATGGACTAATCTCAAGTTGTTTGCTTTACTTAATACTTTGTTGTTGTTCTTTTCCAGGGAGTATCCGTGCGACCATTATACATCGGTAATCACCGTGACACTCCTCATGACGGGTTGCCCTCGAGTCGAGGTGCATGCAACGGCTCTGCAACTTTTACAGATCCTGGATAAGCGTTTCTTTGGCAGCGTGGTGGGAACGCTGCATAGCGACAATGAAAAAGGTATGAGTTATTCATATTAAGTTTACATTTTATAATCAAAATTATGGTGTTGGTAATAAAATTAAAAAAAAAAAAACAGTTTCCACCTTACCATTAAATATATCTACGCACTTTTAATTGGAAGGCAGACCCACCTGTAGCTGTCGATGTACATACAAGCTGCTATTTTTAGTCACTCAACTGGCGAATACCTTTCTATTTTGATTTTAAGAACCACAAATGGAGGCTTGTGTACTCGCACATGTGAAGCTTCAACGTTTTTCCTAAAATCTACTGCCGATTTGACAGACACAGCTACTCAGCCCAACATTCCTCGCTGTGGATGTTTTTAAGAATTCCCAGTATATGCCTGTGTGTGTGTGTGTGTGTGCTAGTGAATGTAATTACATACTCTTGAAGGGATTTTCTTTTCAATTTGATTTCAAGCATGCTGTGCACACTTCTATCATCACCATTTATAACCGCATTTTCATATTCGTGCAGAGAAACTCGGTCTCGGTCTCGAAACGCTTCAGCCTTAAGCTTATTGTACCAGCCACGGTACTTTTGTCAATACGCATAAATGTTTTGTAACCATATGTGTGCCAAGAATTTTGTACTTAACCTTAGGCTAAGTTCTGCAATTGTTGTGTAGGGTGCACCATGAACCACCATAAGCTGAGCTTTGAACGCAATTCCCAACTGTTCAATATTTCTTGGAAGTACTATATATTATGATTAATTTTAAGCTGCTTGTAAGAGAGAAAGACTCAGTAAAAGCGTGAGTGAAATATTTGCATACATACAAGTATTCCAATCTTATTTCCATTAATTTCTCTCAAAATGTCTCAGTGAAATTATTTTTTCGATTACAACAATATTATTTCAAAATATGTGTCTAATCGACAAGCGGCTTAGCGTAGACAAAGTAAAAGACAGACAAACAGACAGTAAGATAGACTAAGACTGTAAGTTTATTTTATTCAAAAAATAATCCCTTTCCCAATCAATGCAATGCTTTGCACGATCAAGAAACATTTCAAGCAGGTGTTTTAGGCCGTTGGCCGGCATCAAAATGGTGGACAAGTCTTTTGAATGGCTTCGACGTCCTTATAGCGCTTTCCTTTCAAGACCAAATGTTAATGATAATAGTCACACGGAGTTAAGAAGCCCAGTGGTATGTTGATGGTTAAAATGTGATTTTTTAATTTTTTTTTTATTAAAAAATCATTCACAAACCTATGAGATGCAGCATTATATTCAATCCGAATACAAAAAATACAATGCACTCAAAGCTTAAAAAAAAAATAAAAACCGTTTGGACTGAATTATCGATGAATAATTATCTTGAAATCAACATTTTGATTGTGACGATTTGACGCTTGGTTTCCGGATCGCATTGAAGCAACGTTTTATCACCAGTCAGTGTAATGGTCCTTTTTTACTTCTTAATAACGTTTTTCAAATGTTGAATTCTTCGATATTTTTTTAACATTTCTACCATTACGAATATTACATACACTTAGTATTTCTCTCTGTGCGATAGTTTAGCTTTTATCTATTCGATTTCCATTAGCATAACTAACTAATAGCGCAGGAGATAGCATGTAATGCTATAAATAATATGCGGAATCAATTCCTTAAAAAGCACAAATCTTTTCTGCTTCAAATATTGTTTTAGAAACTTATACAATCGTATAGTTTGTAATGTTTAATCATTGGGTTATAATTGAAATAAGTACGTACTGAACTCCTTTTAGGGAAACTGGTAAAGCTTTAGTATTCCGTAAATTTTGAATTAAAGATGAACAAATTACATATTTACGGGTCTTCAGATTTGTTTACTCAAATTATATATATTAACACTACCCATATAATACAATTAGCTTCACTTTGCCTTCAAAAGCTAATTTATGATTTAAAGGTGACAACCTCATCTGCACTTCACACAGTACTACAAGTATTCATGTATGTGCCTAAGGACCCACTTGCTTCAACACCTTTCTGACTTTCACACTCATACTCGTACACACTTGCACATATTTCACACACTTCGCTTGACGCCTTTGGCTTTTTTATTTATCAACGCTTTCAATGGTTTTGTGCTCGTTTGTTCTTTAGTTTTCTGCTTTTCTGCTTGCTGCTAGTTGTTCTTGTTTTCATTACATATACATATAGGGGGTTTTTTTTTAATGTATACGAGGAATAGAATTCAAATTGGAAATGAAATGTGTTTTGTTATAGCATATTTAAAAGCGTTCTCCAGTCTTTATTTGCGCGTGCTTTGGTAATAAATTTCATCAATTTGGACACCTATTTTGTTTGTAAGTCTTTTACTTTTCGCCTAACGATTTTAAAACTTACCTAGGAGGAATCCCACAATTCTGAGCAGGCACTCAGCTCGAGTCACATTGTAACCATCATGACATGAATATGATTAAAAAAAATGTCAAGGTTATCATAAAATTTAATAATTGTCCTACATATTTTATTTCGTTTTAATACCATTACCTGGTTTAGATATCAGGAAGAAATTATCTACGAAAGTGTAAAAGGTAGGTTCAGTAAATGTAATATGTAGGTTCTAGTAAGCCAAATTTTTATAAATATTTCGATATATTCAATTTTCGATGTTTGGTTCTTATTGCAGTTGTATTTAAACAATTTTAAGAAGTTTTTCAAAACTTTCAAAACTTACCAATATGGTGTTTCGTAAATTGTATTTTGTTACAAAAAGCTGTGTTCAAAGCACCACAGGAGGTTGGGTTGGGTACCTTTCTGAATAACTTGAATTGTTTCTCAGTTTGCGGCATCGGACAAACAGCCACGCAGACATTTAGGTGATGTTACAATTTTTCAGTTCTTTGTTCGCAATATTTTGCTTATTTATGGAAAATGGAATTTTTGTTATACCTTGCTTTAACACTGCCAAATATTGTATACATTAAAATAGCAATCAAAATAGATATAAATAGAAAGGGGAGCCCCCTTTAACATTCTAATTAACAATGTTTGGCATGTCTGCGGGTTTTAACATTTATAGCAAAGTTATGAGTGTAAAAAAGTTAAGTGCCCGCTGATGTTAAGTTGCCTAATTATGCTTGTCGAGGTTTTTACAGCTTTAAGCTGACTGCTGACCTTTTTTTTTTTTTTTTTTTTGAGGCTAAGAGGCTTAACTGTTCGAGGTGCTCTTGTTTCCGCTTCTGGCTTATAGCTGTTGGTCAGTTAAAGCTGCCAATTTTTGACTGCTCAAAAAAATATGGATGCGTTTCCGTTTTGGACGCGCTTTTCATAAAAAATGTTTTGTTTAAAAGGTCCAGGTTTGCAGACTGTTTTGTTGCCTTGGTAGTGCCTAAGCCGATTACGCAAAATTGTGAGTTTAGTGTCAGATTTTTTGAACAAACACCTCTCCCACACACTTTAAACATGAGGGGTGAAAAAAGGGTTAAATGCATCATAGAGTTTTTTGACTTGCAAATCCTATTAGACTGCATAATATACTGCAAAAGGCTGTTCCCTAAGTTATTGCGATTATCTCCCAACTAAACACATTCAATACAAAATATATTTTTAAAGGTTTAAGCCAAAGTTGTCGACAGACTTAACACCCATAATAGATTGTCAAAAAAGTTCGTTTCATCCATAAGCTAATTGTTTCGAAATTTCATTAAAATCATGAAATACTAAAATAATAATAAGTTTGCCGCCAACTTTTTGACAACTCTTATAAACAGCAGAACAAAACTTTGCTGACAGACAGCATTTGCATTTGTTGTTAAAGCCCAACTGTCGCTGCTCGAAGCTGCTCGTCCTGTAAATTTATGTACGCGTATTGTTGATTTTTACAGTTAGATGTTATTAGGCGTGAATGTTTTATGCAAATGATGTGGAAATTTAATCAGTAAATTGCACACATTGTGTTGACAATGTGTTATGTTCGTTTAATAGAGCTATGGGCAATTGTTTCCGATTTAGACCAATTTTAAATAGATTGCAGTTTAATTTTTAATTAATATAATAAACATTTATTACGCTTGCACATTTGATGGCTATTTTTATGATTTCTACACTAATTACTTGCTAAATAATTATTAATTTCAATATTTGATAGCTTCATTAAAATTGTATTCTGTGGCAAATCATTGTGGACTTGCGGTTTTTACAATATTATTATGTTTGCCGCTGGGCTTTTAAATGGGCCTTCTGCATGGCTACCCTCATTTGAATGCACTTGTAAAGCAAAAAAAAAACTATAAGTAGTGTAATGCTTCCAATTTAAATATACCGCAATCACATGTCGTTTATCGTATACGTAATCGAATCGAGCATATATAGCGCTTTTGGACAGACAGGAAAAAATTGGAAAAAATGTGTGGGCAAGAAATTACATTAAATATAAATATAGTCTTTCAATTTGATATTTAAAAGAGTTAAGGAATAACTAATAATTGAAAAGAGTTTGAATAGTAGTAGTAAGGCAACGATTAAAATAGTTTTTTAGTTCCTTTGTATTTCAAAGGATAATTTTTATGCAGTCGAGCCGAGCACAGACAAAAGTGCAGATTTTTCATACAAACGTTGGAGTCCGTTTTACCCATTTGAAGTTCAAATTTTGACAAATTTCTTAGTGTTCTCCCACACAGTGAAAGGAAACTTATGTCCACATATCAGCTTTCTAGCTCTTACCATTTCCGCTATGCAGTAATCGGCAATTAATCAGTCTAGGCAAACTGTTTTGTATAGACTTTATTTCTTGAGTACAAAAGTAAAACTACAAATAATCTTTATATTCAAGTGTCTGGCTAAAAAGCAAATAACATTTTTATTAAAAAAGAATCCTTTTATTGTTAAAAAAAAGAAATTAAAACAGCTTCAAAAACAAACCTTAATTGGTTTCATTTAACTCGTTTTATATTTATAGTTTCGTTTTCTATTTGTAAGTTAGTTACAGATTGTTTTTTCCGAAGAAATTAAATCAGAATTAACTTTCGTGTAAAATCAAAAGAATTAGTGTTTGGGTATATTGTTATTTTCTTTTTAATAATTGATTATCGTTCAAACGCACTGATGGAAACAGTAGAACTGAGAACGGTCTGTGTATTTTGTTTACTGCACATTTTTGATAAGCAACAGGTTTTAAGTTTCTTATATTTATAATGTAAATACATACTATACATACATAGGTTTGCAAATTTTTACCTTGCATTCATTCTAATATCGTTTTGGGAGGAAATAATTTCCAAAAAGTTCGCAAGAGCGCTTTGTTGTGAGTTGTTAAAAATAATCTTAACCTTAACCCATAAAGGTAGCTATTATGGGTTTTTTTTAGCGGGCTTCTGGGCTAAGCGTACAAATCTATCCACATACTATTCATAATCGTACTTACTCGTGCTGTCATACTTACTTGTATTATCGTACTTAATCGTACTATCGTACGCTTTCGTTCTATTCTTCTTGCTTCTTTTGAATTCTTGTTAATGAACCTGTTTTTTAGTGTTGTGGCATTTAACTATAACTTTTTTCTACTTGGCTGAATGCAATTTTTCCAGAAGACATGCCTTGATTCTTTTTCAATCAACCATTGTTCATTAGTTTTTGCGTGCTCAAGTGTTAGGTATTTAAATATACTTCTTACATTGGGTATTTATTTAATTTATACAACACTTTTACAAATACTTTATATATCTTATTCGTTAGGTTTTTTTGTTGGTTGTTTTTTTTTTTGCATTTTGCTGCTTGCAATCTAATTAAAATTAAATATGATGCTTATCCTGTTTATCTTAAGCTGCATTCGTTTCCTTTTCATGTACGTGTATATTTAAAATTCAATTTCTTTTCGAGCACTTTCGCTCCAGCCCGCTATCCTTCTGCCTTTGCTTCACTTAAGTGGATGCAGTTCGTGCATTTCGTTCCAACAATGTTGCGTCATCATGCGACGACGTGTGGAGGTTCCCGTATTGCGACAATACTCGGAGACTGCAATCAACAAAAATAAGATATAAAACATCAGTAAAAGATTCATTCTTATTCGTCTATATGGTATATATTTTTTACAAACACTGATTTGTGAAAATACTATTCACTGGATGTGAAAATGCGAATTTATGTCTCATTTTTATAGCCAGCATTTTTATGTCAAGCTGACGCAATAATCACATACCAAGTCGGGATAAATATGTCAAACAGACACTTAAACTCCTGCCAATGGCGCTCTCGGAGAATTTATTTAAATTTTCGAATTAATTCATGGTTTATTTCATTATTTCCTGAGGGATTAATGGGCTTCATTTGATTTTGGTTGGAAGTGAGCTTTTAAGTTAATTTGTTAAATGGATTTTAAAGAAATGTTTTGTTAAATTTTTTTTAAAACTTGTTGCTTGTTATTAAAAAATTTCTAAATTGTCTATTAAAAAGGCGAAAATGGGCGACGGTTTCACAAGAAACGAAGTTCCAGCGAAACAATAAAGTGTTCAAATTATTTCGCATGACTACATTTTTAACAGGAATGTAGCTCGCAGACTGTTTTCATTTTTGTGGTATTTTCTTGAGGAATTTCCTTTTGTTTCCTCGTGTCAAAGGTCCTACATTTAAACAGAAGCAAAGAATCAATTAATATATGTTTTCACGTTAATTAATTTGTTGAAATAGAAACATATTTCGCGCAGATATTTTATTAAATCATTGTAGCGTCTGTTGTCTTATACAAATAAAAAACTGAAATTAATAAGAAAAATTTGTTTTTTTTAGAAAGTTATATTGCTTATTTCTAGCAGTATGAATACTTCATATATGGATGAGGAAAATTTGTGAGAAACAATAATAAATAAAATGTTTTTTTTTACTTCACAATTTGTTTATTCTCAAGGAAAAACAAATTTGGTAGACATGATTTAAATATTGCTGCACATCTTTATTGGCAACACCCATTGGACGACATTTGAATTTAAACCTAAACTAAAAATATTCGCCACTAAAGTAACTCCTATATCTGCTTATCTGCCAGAATTCTCATTACTAATGCTAGTTCTTAGCTTCAAAGCTGTTGCAAATCTAGAGGTGGGGCTTCTGCCCATATGCGTACAATTTAATGAAATTAGAGGGAAACACTTTTACGCGCATATTTTCATTTCTGTGAAGCAAGCTCGTTTGCCTTTCAGTGGAAATCAATTTTTCTCGAGCCCGGCATCAGCTCAACGGGTGTCTTGATTATGTAAAGTATTTTTAATTTATTTCGCACAAAGCCATTTGCGATGCAAATTAATCACACTTTTGTATTGTTGTTAGTCAAATGTAGTGGGGTTTGAAGTGAAAAAGAGAAAATCGTGCGCTATGTGTGTCGAGCTGCGTTCGAGATTTTCTTGTTTTCTCGCACCTTTCTTAACCAAATTCCTGTTCAATCTTTTTAATTTCCTGCTTACTTTGTACTTACATTGCTTTATCCGTCACCTAGGCTTACTTATGTGCATAGAAGTATGTATTGTTGGCACCTTTTCGTTTCGACCTTTACTGTAATTGCTTACAAAAATTGGGTACAAACGAAATCATTGTCCTCTTTCTTAGGTTATAGGCTTAGGCTCTTTGTCGGCCCCTGGCCGTTATAATTTTGTGGTGTTTGCCTGAATACAAAATAATGCGTAAGGAGCTTGTGTTGTTGCTATAGTGGCCCTTATACACATATTACAAATTAAGAAACGATTCCACCTACGCTGCCACTTGTCAGCTGTTTGTGTAACAATTTATAGCATACATTCGGGGGCGTTGCGTATTCCTATTGCTATTGGCAATGAGTTTTACTTTCAATCGTTATGTTAACTAATTACGGCATCTACTAAGTGTGTATTTGTGTGTGATTATGTGGGCGACACTTATCGCACTTGCTCAGGGTAAGTTTTCTTCAATTCGGGCGTTCTGCTGCTTACAAATAATAAAACTGTGTTGTATCAAAAAATCATAAATCATAAAAATCGCTTTTTAAAAATAATCAAAATGAATATATTTTAGTTTTTACAGATCTGGAATAATTCAATTGATAAATATTTTCCACAACTCAGCTTTATTACCTTTGCCGATCTAATTGATAACTGATATCAAAAGTAATTTCTTATTACGGGTCGCAAATATAAATATCCTCGTATTTATTGCTTTTCTACGCAAAACTGTAGCCTATTCAATATTTTTTAATTTTCATATTAAATGGCCGATGGCTGCATGTTCCCAGTTCGTTTACAATGCTTACACAATAAATTTGTTTATAATTTGTTGTCCTATGTGATCAGCACTCTATCCCATTCCTTTGTTTATACTTGTATATAATTTTTAATATGTTTTTGACTGTTTGCACTTAAATTGAAGAAGTACACAATCAGCGCTTCATCAATCATGCATTCACTAAGACTGAGACAGAATCAACATACATATATAATCAATGTACAAGTATATACATATACTGCTGTTTATATATATTTTCGCGGGCCATTAACATATGCATAATTTATCGATAATCAACTGGCAAATATTTATTGTCTACATATATGCTTGTTTCATAGACTGTGAAATGTCCATAAAATAAAGAGTCTCAACATTTATTGTCAGCAGGCTTAACCTTTTTCCTCTGTGGTGCTTTGGTTTTTGTTTTTTTTTTAATTGCATGAATTCTTGACGCACGAATATAATGGATATACACAAAAGGACAAAAATAGTTTGCCTGAATGCAAAGTGTTGACAAATTCTTTTTTCCGACTTATGACGTTCGCACAGTTTTCTGCGGAAATATTTCAAATTTATTTTTAGCAATATTAATGATGTCGTGACCTTGTCTCCGTATTTTACATTTTGTGCCTGCAAAATGGTAGCATCACTCACACAAAGCACATTGGGGTAACTTTTGAGACACTTCACATAAAGGAAGCAAGATGACGAAGGATTCAAGAATTTGAATCAAATAAAAGGGCGAAGTTTGCGCCCTTAATGCTAAGTGAAATGTGGTGTTCAAGCAGGCTTGCGTTAAATTATAAGTACAGTGCTTATGTCAACATAAATAGTAATATAAGGCGCACAGATTGAGTGTGAAATGACGGCACAAAGACAGACAAATGACTTTGATGGCAAATAGGCAGGTTGGCTGCCAGGCGCGTGAACTTATGCGGAAATCGTTCCGACCGCAACGCTTGTGGCGCTGGTAATTTCAAGGCATAAGAGCAATAATATAATGAGTATGAGTATAATGTTGTCGAAAATACTTCTGTGGTTGTGGGTCGTTGTAGTGTGTTGACTTCACAACATTTGCTCCGTTGGGACATGCAACGCACGTCTTTTTATTTGCTCGATGAGCTCAACTCATCAGGGCGTATGAGTAATGCGCTGGTTATCAAAAATTTATCATGCTACGTGTGTTGGTTACAAGCACCACTACAAACTACAAAGCACTACAATTCAAGCACATATTTCCGGCCAATGATGATCATGATAAACTTTTTCAGACACGCTCATTCACTTGGCCGTTTTCATGCATAGCCTAATTTTTACCCTATGACGTGGAATTTGCAAGTAGAACTCAGCATTGAGTGGTACGCTAAGCTTCGCCCCACTTCAGCATCAGCAGCAACAGTGTAGTGGAATTTCGCAGTTAACTGCACTAATTGTGCAAACGAAAATTATGGGCCGCTAATGGCTAATGACGACAAGATGCGCCCACACACTATTGACTGAAATGAACCGTTTGCAGGGATTATTGTACGCATTGCTGAGATTGTTTCAAACAGATTTAGCAAACTTGTCATTTGGCGGTGCGTGAATTTGTTGCATGAATTCACTGCAGATTTTTGCAAAAGATTAAATGCTTGTCTGTTTAAATATTCATTAAATATAATTAGTAGTGCTGAAGAAATTTGAATCAAAAGTCTACGAAACTTGTTTAAAGGTCAGCCAAGTATTTCATTAGTTGATTTCCAACAGCAGGCGAGCACATTAATCAGCTTTCACATGAACTTTGCTCTAAGTCTATAATCAGCCTTTCAGATTTTCATGCATACATTTTTTTGAAGCAAAGAAGGTTTTAAATTGCAGAAGGGTAGAAAGGTGCAGCTATAATTTGATTTACTTTATAAAATTACATAGTGAATAAAAATGTCAGATTAAACATTTAAATGCTCAAAAATAATTCATTAGTCAGCCAAACTGTGAACATTATAAATACAAAACGGAGTTTCATAATTACGACTTAAATAAACATTAATTAAAAGCCAATGAAGCTTCATTCAACAAATGTAACCTTGAAGCGGCTAAGCAGCTTATTCAGCCTTACAGATTTTCCCTCGATTACTTCTTTGAGTCTTTAATAAGCCTTTCACATTTTCATATTAACTTTTCTATTAAAGATCTTGTTGCTCTTCTAATTATTCCCAAGCCACAAACGCTTATTTAGATAAATATGAAATTATAGAGAAAGTCACACAAAAATACAAAAGAAATTTTGTATGACTGAGGGCATTTTCATTAAAGGTCTTGATAAAAAAAAAAAATAGGAAACAAGTATGAGTTCCTTGGCGGATTTTTGTTCATTTCTGGTTAAAAGGTGATAATCAGCTCTTGTGTCTTTGTTGCCGTTTTTCATTTAATTAAAATAGCAAAAAAAATAAAGTTAATTTGTTACAGCTTTGAAAATATTGAAAATAAATAACGAGGCCCACCTTGTGTACTCAATAACCGTATTTTTGTTGCCGTTTTTCATTTAATTAAAATATCAAAAAATAAAGTTAATTCGTAACAGCTTTGAAAATAAATAACGAGTCCCACCTTATGTACTCTATAACCGTAAAAAATGCACTTACTAACTAAAGTAGCTTATAGCACTCATAAAAAGCACATCGTATACTTGTAAACCAAAAAGTTTTTGGTATGTCTTCGTCCAATTTCGATAAAACCTCGAGAAAGTACATTTAATAAATTCCCGTGTACATTTTCGTTTGTGCCGACAAACTAGAAATATGGCTTCTCTAAAGAGCATAAAAGGTTCGGTTATCAGATATTTACATTTCTGAGTTGTTACCGTTTCTAAATTGTATTACATAAATGGTAGCACATACACGCACACATGTAATGTCAATTGGTGGTGACAGGCGTGCTTGTCTTTTAGCAGTGCTGTCAACAGCCCGTTAGTCCTTGAGCTCGTAGCTGTCAGCAGCAACTGACAACTAATACCAGCACCTTATTTACACATACACTCACAAACAAGCTTCTCATGCAAAACATAAAAAGAGAATTTTTAATAAATCTGTTGTCATGTTTGTGCTCTGCATGTGTGTGTGCGAGATCTTATTTGCGTTTCCTTAACCATTTTACACCTGTATTAGATAGCTTTACCTTTTCGTATTTACCAAATTTACTTGCTGTCAATATTTGCAAGCAACATACTCGTACAACTGTTTGATCCTTTTATTTATGTGCCACACGTCGCCTTGGGTGGACTACATTTTCTTGTTACCGGTGACAATTTTTAGCATTTACTTTAATTTAATTTACATTCGCTTCGAGCTCTTCTCATGCATCGCTTCTTCTTCAGTTTTATTATCTGCAATTGTCTTTCATCGTCCTTTTTGCGAAAATATATATTTTGCACAAAAAGAACAAGGAGAGCTGCAGCTTCTTTTTTATGAGACAATAAGAAGTCCTGTATGTGCGAATGAAACTTCACCTAAAGCAGTAGACTTCATTAGTTTCCATAGCGTAAACACGTAGGTGTCTATTTTTAATTAAATTGGTTTTCGCGCACAAAAGAAAATTCGCTCGACTTTTATTGATTCGCCGTGAAAACATAAAAGATAACCGCATTTGACTAAACTAAAATGTGCGACAAAATCCTTGACAATAAAAGAAGTCTTCTTTGTGAAATAAACGCCATTTCGAATTTCTGAGTAATGCTCAGTCGACCAGAAATAATTTACCACAAGCGCCGGTCTTCCTATATTTGGCAAGCTTTTCGTCTTTTAAGTAAGAAAACCAGAAGCAATAAACAGACAATAACAAATTTTTAACACAAAGAGTGGGCTTAATCTCCAATGTCATTAATAATTCAATCAAAATTGTTATTATATGATAATATAATATAATATTAATGGGAGCTAAGCACAGTTTCGAACATACCTGTTTATTTCAATTGTAGCGAAAAGTAATTGCATTGCATAATTGCTTCTATTTCTGCAAACAGTTGCCATTGCTTTCAAACTGGTTGGGCAATTATTTTTGTTTTCTTAAACAATAACAACTCTGTCTGTGCTAGTTCCGCATTGTAGTATATCAGCACAATTATGTTATATGGTCGACCTTAAAAAGCAGACCTCACCATTATTAATACAAAATATTAATTGTGGCACTAATTGTGTATAGCTGTCTGACGCAAGCTGATTCCATAATATTGGTCTACACGTGTCTGCAGCTCATCAGTGAAACTTTTGGGATATCAAGTCAATATGAAGTCAGAGGTGGAGCTGGGCTTTCTAATAAGTGGAATGTTGTGCGGTGTAGCTAACAATCCTGAGAATAACACAACTGCAAAATGACACTATCAGACTGCCACGTGGCATCGTAGAATTTGAAGCAGCCTTAAAATTTACCGAGGCGGGTGCCCATCCCGAGCATATCCGTGTGCGCCTTCTGTTCGTTTATTGGAAAAGTTTTACAGTCAATAGTAAAACTGTCTCAAACAGCTAAAAGTGAACAGCTTTAGCAGCACCATCCGCAATTACTTAACACCGAACAGATACTTAGCCCGGGTTTCCCTTAATTGGTTAAGTTTAATTCACACGTAATAGCACTTTTGTTTAGCTTTGTAGGTAACTGATATTTTTGAACTTAATTTACATTTCCCAGGTAGTTTTGACTACTTTTCACGCACTTCAACAAATAAAAACTGTCAAGACGAGAAACTATTCCTTTTAAGAAGGCATTTTAACACATATAAAAAAAAAACTCAAAATTTACTAGATTTTTTTTATAGATTTTTTTAGTGCTATTCTTCAAAAGAGACATGCAGATGCGAAAATGTGTTATCGACATCTAGGTCTAATAAATTAAATACTTAATTACTTATTACTTAATTTTTGTTGAAGCTGTCCACGCAGCAGTCAGAGTACGAATTTAATAACCCCTTGAACAAGTACGGGTAGGTGGCAAGACAAATTGGCTTTTGTTATACATTTATAAAATATTACTCCTAAAGGAAAATGTTATGTTTTGTTAGATTTAAAAGAAAATTTGTAATATAGCAATCGAAGTATCTTCGTCCTACTAGGATTTCTTTAAAAATTTCCCATTTAAAAACCTACATATTAAATTATACCCATAACCAATTTAATTTAATTTTATATCTTTAGTCTTTTATCTTTTTTGTCCTTTAGTTGCTTTTAATGAATAGTTGCGAAACCGAAATGTTAAACCTAAAAGTATGCTTTGTTAATTCGCAAATGTGTTACATAGAAATTAGTTTAAACAATACGAAGAACTGATTAGACTGTTGATATGAAATGAAAATTCCATGACAGAAACAAAAGGTCATGTATTATTATTATTACATTACATTAAATAATTATGTTTTCAATGTACTTATTTATCCCGCAAGTGTGTTGAGCTAAAATTTCAATTAATTAATAATCAAGGGCAGGCTACCCAAATCTAGCTATTAAATTAATTAGCGGCGCTATATGCTTTGTCCACTTGAATCTTTATTTATTTGGGTTGACAAGCTGGGCGGTATCTTTTGTGCGGTATGTTATGTAAATATCTAATATACGTATTTTGTTTAAAAGCAAACAAAAGAAAAATAATGTGGCATTGACAATGAGAACTGTCACAAGCAGGACAAGAATCCTTTTGGTATAAGAATGTCACAAAGTTTGTACGATATATCTTGGGGGCATTTGTGTGCCTTTTAATCCGAATGGCTCGTATGCGTGCAGATACAAATGAATTTACTGCTGGCATTTTTCATACTCGATTAATAAGTTTCTCAGTATAAAAAGTTACAGTTCCAATTTTGTAGCGCTTTAAATGATTTATCTGTAATCAAATAGCTTATCTTTTTAGTAAATAAACGCTTTTAGATTCTATATTCTATTGCTTGTCCTCCTTGATTATGTTTCACATTTAGGGACTAAAATGCTTACGTAAGATTTGTTAAGTGAAAATTCTACTCCCAAAGAGGAAAAAGGCTCAAGTATCCTATCATGGTGTAAATGGTGTAAAGTGGTCAAACTTTTAAATATTAATTTTATTCCTATTGGCTTTGCAAATTAATAGACAACTTATCTTATAAAAGAGTAGATGCTATTCGGTGGCTTAGGGTATAATGAAAGATGGGCGAACAAAAGTGTTCCAGTAGAAATAATTTTAGAAATGTAAAAGACAATAAATGTTTAAGCACAAGGTATAAAGAGAAAGAAAATTATAAAAAAAGGTCTTGCATGATCTCACATTTATTAAAAATATTGGTAGTTGTCAAAGTAACAAGCTGTCGAAGTAAGTAATGATATTCTTGAATTGTCTCTTATTAGAGCAGCTTTTAAATAAAATGTGTAAAAACCAATTGTCTACGTTTCTTGCTTGATGGCTCTCTGTTTATATTCAAAGCCCACATAATATTTTCATAACACACTTTACAGCCTCCACTCTGATTTTGTATTTAAAAATGTGTTGCGTCTCAATTTGCACATCGGCTCTTTGTCTAATAGCAGGCTTTTAGAAGTCTCTTTATTTTGTGCATAAAATATTCATCCACTTACCTGTCACCTGAGTGACGCCTTCTCGTTGCGTCGACGAAACACGCCGGAAGATGCTCAACACGGCTTTGCTGTAAACAAAGAGATTTTGGGGGGAGAGAAAAGAGGATTGCAGAAATCAATGTAGGAATCATTTTGTCTTGCACGTAAATTGCCGTAAAGTAACGAACCAATTAAAACACAAATGGTATAAGAGAAAATAGCAATATTTGTTTTTACATAAATATACATATATTTATAGCTTACCGAAAATTTTGTCCGCTAACGCAATAAAGCACGAAATTTATGCCAAAATTTGTTATAAAGAACGCATTGAAAATATATTGCAAGGCAATTGTTGTGTTCTGCTTTTTGGCCGATTGTGTCTGTGGGTGAGAAATAGGTGGCATTACAAGAAAAGAAACAGAGACCTGTTGGCAAAACAAATCCTTGGCTCATAAAGTGTGTATTTTATTATAAATTGGACAGCATTTGTAAGAGAATATTCTTCTAGGCCCCTTTTTGCATTAGTTCCGGCAGACGCATTGTTCTACAAGTAACTTATTGGGCATTGTCGGCAGCTTAGTTTCTGTGCCTTGTCCAGCAACTTCCTTAACTACGAGTTATTTGATATGCGTACCTGCTACCTGTTTGGCTTTTAAGCTCTAGAGACTCATTGACCGACAAGATATTACGATGCATCCCCCTTCTTTGTTCTGTTTACTCTGTTACTCTGTACTGGCGTTTCCAATTAGTCACTAATTACTATATACATGCTCATTAGTTTACTGGTTAGCTCATTGAGCGTAACCATATAGCTTTAAATCGCATTAAAACTATGCTATTTGGCAGCCTATTGCTGTTGGTTGCGGTGGTTTGGGTATGCCTAAGTATTTATCAAGCATTGATACATCATTTAATTGAGGTAGTTACACAACAATCAGTCATTCGAAGCCCACGTTAAGTAATTAATGCAATTGAGTTACTTAATTAACAATCAGGAAGTATAGTTTTTATTAATCCTATGGGGATAGGACTGAAAACCAACAAAAGTTAAATAATCTATCTATAATCTACTCTCTAAATTGTGAAATATTGAAAGTCAAATTTGTAAATGAACTTGTTCTATGCATCAACAAGTTAAACTTGTGGAATGTAATTGTCAAGTCAATTTAATTAGCTTACAGCAACTTGTAAATGCCATGGTATGCGCTCTTTTATCCCATTTCCAATCAGAATATGCATTTTTAATGAGCTCCATGCATCACTAACGTACAAAACAATACAATACAATATATAGCAACATATTTTCGTGTAATATTGTCGAACTTTACAACTCATTTCCGCCATTTTCGATCTACTACTTGTATATTGAACGTGACGCGCATTCTCCCTTTTTGGTTTTCGAATTCCGGTCAATTAATTTCATGTCAGAAGCAAGGTTAGAGTTTGTCGCCTGTTTTCACCCTTTGTCCATTATTAAAAGCACTCCCGACTGTTGTGTAGGTGTGTTATGGTTGAGTTCAGTGTGAGTTCATGCGTGTGCCAAAAGTAATTTTAATTTGCTCATTTTCAAACTGTCAGCAGTGACACGAGTTTAAACATATGCGTTTGAACATCCTTGGCATTCGGCGCTTCGGACAAAACTTTTACACGTTTAGCATACAACAAAAAACATAAGTTTGCATGCATGTAAAAACCAGAGCGAGAAAAAAGGAGATTTTTGCGAATGCCAAAGTAAAGCAGTACGCAAGAGAATGTCACTTTTTTGTTAGTACTGTTCTCATTTCCGGAACTGCAAAAGACTTATCTCGTTATATGAAATAGCCGATATACATGGATTTATTTTACAATGCTATATAATTGTTTTCATTTACATAGCATTTTCATGTCCATAATAATAATAATAATACCTCAAAGCAAGTATTCTCAAAACCACCTTCACATCGCTGAAAACTAGTTTGGAATCGTAACAAAGTTCGCGAAATTCAATTCACATAAAATAAAGTGAAATCGAAGGCACGCCTGTCCAACTGACTGCCTTAGTTTCTGGCTTGGAGCTTTTGTTATCTTCTGTTTATTTCTGCAAGACATAAAATTAGGGAAATGCTTCGGCATTGACAGTTGCTTGTCTCTCTGTTCATCTTTCGTGTTTCTTCAGCCAAAAAAAGGTACACGGAAAGGAATATAGAGGAGACAAGATAGACTTATGGGCATTACATCACGCATACGACAAGTTGGCAGCGGCTTTTGTTTATGCCAAATTTTTCTTTGCTGCCGCCTTCCTCATTGTTTGGTTGTGCTGTCATCCGCTTAATTATTTTTGCACGTTTCACTTTTGTGCGCTGTGATTTGCCTAAATCCTTGAATAAGTAGATGCTTCTTGTTTTTTTTTGTTTTTGTAATTTTTCTGGAATTTTTCACACTTCTTGTTTGACATTCGATGTTATGGCAACAGGCAACAACAACGCTTTAAAATGTTAACCTAGTTAATTAACTGTCATAAAAAGGAAAAAGAGTGACTGCATTAGTCAAAGCAATGACGAATCTTAGCCTTTATGTTTTTTTTTTTTGTTTGTCATATGTCATATTTGTTTTATATGTGTGTGAGTGTGTGTGCAATGTCAGAAGTGCACAAACTAATTAAAGCTTAATTAGACAGCCCCTTTTCCGTCCTCTCTATTAACGATATGTTAAACTTTCGCTTGCCTGTTGCGCACAGTTTCATGCACAATTTATTTAAAACATCTTTCGTCTTTGCCAACTCTTGATGTATCTCATGCATTACAAATGCCATTAGAATGAGCTAGAGGCGCGGTTTCGGTTTCATGCACACATAACCCCAAAGACCAGTAACCCTTTGTTTTCTTGAAGAGGCCGTGTTGTCCTTCTAAGAATATTAATGGCTTTCGCATTAGGTTAAAAGGACTTGTTGTTCAATTAAATGTTTCTTGTGAAAACGCATTGTATAATGCTTAAGAAAATATCAATTAGTTTATTAAGTTAACCTTAACGGGCTTAGATTTAAGCTTGATCATTGTATCAGGGCTATCTTTGTTTATTTATTAATAATGGCCTCTAGATATGAGTTTGCAAAGTCTTCGAATATTTGGTGCTACAACTTGAGGCTTCAAAGATTTGTACGAATTAATTCAGCTTTCTGTTCTAAGGATGATTATTAAAACTATTTCTATAAATGTTAAGCCCGAAAACTTCATTGGAAATAGCGAAATAGAATTCAACAAACCAAAAAAAATAATAAAACTAACTCTGTTTACTTAAATTGTGTAATGGATCTAATAAATAAAAATAAAGTTTTATAAAACGAAGCAACTTTAAAAGTATCCATAGTGATAAAAAACGATCGTTTAGTGTTTGGCCGGGAAAAATAATCCAACATAATTTTAATTTGAATTTAATTAAATAAAAATAAGCATACGAGTATATTTCGATTTCATTCCATGTGACCAACGATTGCAGACTTAAATTCAATTCATTATGTTTTTTCTTACGATAATTCATATGACAACCATATAGCTTATCTTTGTTTTGTTTTCACATTTTTAGAGTAGTCCTCAGTATGACCAATACTTACGAATAGGACTAACTAAAATAAAATGGATTTCGTTCACCCAATACATTCGAGTATTGTAGAAAATTGTAGCTCAAATAGTATGAGATAGGGCATAATTAAAAGATTACTCAACCATGTAAATAATGCACACATGCGAATTTCTAAAGAACACGCAAGAACAAAAGTATATGAACGATTGTAGAACGACTCAACTGTATAAAATCATACATATTCTTCTTTTTAATGTATATTTCTGTTAATCATCACAGAGTGGGGCGTTCGCCCACTTTTCTAACTATATTTAGTATTTGTTTGCGTAGGAACCGATGTTCACACGACACGTGCCGTATGTTGTATAGTTCAATATACTCGTATGTACGAGAGAGATTAATTGCCAGTATCGGTCAAATGCCTTAGTAAGCAACAACAATAGTTTTCGTTGCTTCTGTTCTTGTCAAAGGCAATTACAATAAGAATGCCCGCAGCGAATTGCTGTTTGCAGTAGCCGACGCGGCCAACTGTTATGTTGACCAGTTGCTGCAGTATTTTCCATTATTTTAATTAAACGCACAAGGACGCATACACAAAGATACACACGCACTTAATAGGGCCATCTTGCTTGGCAAAAATTTAAATTACGGTTTATTACGGCCCATAAAACTAAATCTTGGCTGTACATTTTCTCATTATATTAAAACAAAATTAAAACAAAATAAAACAAAAAAAGCACTATATTTAGGAACAATTAGTTAAGGAAAACTGTAAGAGTTTTTTTAAATAACTGAAATATATCAAGAATGAAATGGCCCACGTTCATGGCGAAACAAAGTTCTGTTTTAAGACACAGTAAAGGGTATATAGCTTTTTAGTGATGCTACGTTTAGTTATCTATTCTGTGAATATGTTCAACTAACACATTTTTAGTAACGCAAGTTCAAGAAATTTCAAGTGGTGGTTAAGCAAAGCATATAGTTTTCCTGAGCGGTTAATTGGATACATGTTTTGTTAATCAAATAATACTCTTAAATACTACTCTTAAATACTACTTACTTAAATACTAGTTAAGATGTCATTTTAATTTTTTTTTTTTTTAATATTTTAACTCTTTGAAATGCTCATAGCTGCTAGAACTATAATTGCTTTAACGATTAGTGTTACTTTCAAATTCAATAGAGATGACAAATCATTTGCCAATTAGTTACTCAATACTTTCCCTATTCCAATTCCTTATTCTTATTCAATAACTGGAATGAAGTCATGCATTAATGAGGCTCAAATCGCATTGTTCATCATTCTCCTGTTCAGTCTCCTTCTGCTCATTTAATATGCCCGACACTTTTTGCTTATGCAGCAATCAGTCACAATCATGACCCCCATCCCCCCATACCAACACTCACCTCCAAGTAGGCTTCGATGCGTAAAAGACAGCTCGGCAGATTTAAGAGCACAAAAACCGTCGATACAATCAGCAACATTTTCGTTACCTTCAGTTGAGATGAGTTTTGTACCTTGCGGCGTCCTGCAAAGACAAAATTATATATAATGCGATATGGTATACATAATGTATAAGTAGTTTGATTTGCATTATGCTGACAAAACTTATTTAGCTTCAATGGCATTAGTTGATTAGTCTTTGATACGCTTACGCTCTACGCCCATTCGCTATCTGTAATTAAAAACCTTTGATGCCGTTGTCAACGTCAAAAGTTTTATGACGTTTTGATAAAATGTTACATGTGAAGTCACCAAATATATATATTAAAGCTACTTTCTTACCACATGGATTATCATAATGTTGTCAAAAACATTTCAAACGTACATAGGTTTAAATAAGCATTAGTATATATGTTTATTTATAGTTGAGAACTTATTCTGATTAATTCGGCTCAGAGCCCCATTTCAAAGTTCACAACAAGCTACTAATTGTTGAGATTTCAAGTTAAATGGCGCGGAAAAAGTTGTAGCTTCCTTAAATGTTGAAAACTTATCAAGTGCTTTTCATTTTCCTTCTTTCTTATCCGCGCGGTCTGACTGTCTGTTCGTCAACTAAAAGCTAGTTGTCAAATTTAAAAGGTCGACGACGGTATTGCGTCACTTATCAGTGCGAGGTGTACGTACGTATACACAGAGAAAAATTTCGTAATAAAAAAATCGATACAAAAAGTGATTGAAATAACAAAAGTGAGTGAAATAACATTATTGTGTAGAGAAATGAGTTGGGAATTGTAGCTGAAAATAGCGAAATACGCAAACTCTCTCCACATTCAGATTAATTAAAATTTCATTAATTAAATATAATATAATTTCGATTAGGCTTGTAGGTTTCATATTTAAAATTTCTAGTATGTATGATTCAAGACCAAGTTGAACACAATCTAAATGCCAAGTGTATGTAACAGACACAAAGAGAGATGGAAGACCCCATATTATAGGGACGAGACGAATCGAAATAGAGACGTTCGTCTGTCCGTCTGTCCATCCGTCCGTCCGTCCGTATGAGCACCGATAACTTTTGAACCATTAATGCTGTCTTATCCAAACAAACCCTATATAACCTTATTAATTTATAAATTTTTTATATGCAGAAGTTTCATTAAAGTCGGTGCGCTATATCATATAGCTGAAAGGATTAAAATAATAATTTGTTGTATCAAAATGCTTTTTTACCCATCCTCTGGACCTCCCCAGGGATTAGTCGGCTACTACAACCTCATCATAAATGAAATAATTAATCGTCAAGTTTATTGAACAAATTTGATGATTGTTTTAAAAAAAAACACTCTGCTAATACAAAAAAAAAAAAAATTCCTTTTGCTTACTACATTTTGGTAATGGAAATATTGAATATTTTTCAATTTTTCCTTAGTAGACAATTTTAACCAAAATTGGTCAACTGTGTCAACTGCTGGTGTTATTGGTAGACAAAAATTGTTTTAGTTGAAGGCTGGTCACAAAGCTATCAAGAGTCGGAGTGGCACAACTTTAATGCACTACGTGTTCGATCCATTTATTTTAGTTGGTTGCATTAAATGGCAAACCAAAACGTCGTTGGATGGTTGCCATGCAGTGTATATCAAATCGACATTAAGAGACACTAAATCCAATCAGTCGTTTGCCATTTTAGAGCAAAAACAAGCCTGGCACTCCACATCCTCACATATCATACCAACACATAAAAAGATACAGGGCTCTTACTTTATACTTATATACGATTATAAACGAATCACACCGCAACCGTCGTGTGCATTAGTCCGCATCAATATAAATTTTTATACAACTCACCTGGCTTCTGTGTAATCTCGCAATGGTGTTGATGCTGTTGTTGTTGTTGTTGCTGCTGCTGCTGTTGTTGTAACTGTAGATGATGATGTTGTTGCTGCTGTTGTTGGTCCTCGTGCTTAGCAACATTATGCTGTCCACTGGGGTGTGTGCCAGTTGACTTTTGACGCTTCAACGATGTTGTAACGCGATATGAAGCAGCAGCGCCACCTGCCGTCGAGCATGTGGGCATGGAAGTCGTTTGCGGCTTCCTTTTTAATGCAAGAATCATCATCGAACACAGAAAAAATATATCATAAATGGCACATGTAATGTAACAGTATTGGGATTAATGTGAAAAGGTAAGCTGTATGGCAGACAGACAGGCAGGTGGGTGGGTAGGTAGGCTGATAAATCTGTATTTGTACTCTTGTCGTCTGTCTGGTTCTTGATGTGTGAAAATATGTAAATCGAATTAGTATTATGCACAAATTTAAATTGAAATTCTGCCATGAAATTGCTTTGCTTTTCTTCTTGTAAAATGTGTGCTTAGGGATGCACCAGTGATTTGTTTGCAAGTCGTGACTAAGTCGACACTCTTGTTCTGACAAAATATTTGTTGCTGCCTGGTTAATTTTTCTAAGATAATTAAAAATAACAATTCTGCTAACATTTTAAATATAGTATATATATTTTTCGTTATTATTTCACAATGTCGATATTATCAAAAAATATAAGAAATAATTCAAATAATATAAGTAGAATAAAACTACTAAGCCTAATCTAAAACGAAGTCCTACTTATTTAGATAAATTTAAGACTGAAAGACAGCTTTGTTTTTTATGCTAATTTGTACAAAAAAAAAATAATACATTGTATATATTTTTACAACCTCCTTTTTTTTGTGTAATTTGTCTAGCCGATATTTTTCAGACAAAAATGTAGACAGAAAAAAATGTTTTTTTTTTGTGCTCGAGTAGGCAGGTCCGTGTCAAATCAGTTACTGTTGGTAATTTTAGATTATTTGCTTCGTTATTTGATTCTAGTTAGTAGTATATGGAAAATAAGCGCAAAGCCTTCAAAACAAGGACAATGCACGATCTGATGTCAAACAAATGAGGCAAACAAGTAAACAGTAGGTAGCCTAACGTCTAAATTTATCACAAGCCGTCTGTAGCATGTAGTTTCTTTTTGTATAGAAGAGATATAAATGAGAGAATAAATGCGAATTTTTGTGACATCGTCACGCGCCCATTTTTCTTTCACAGTATTGCTATCTTTACTCGATATCAAAACTGTTTGTTGGCTTCGCTGGCATCCTAATAATATTTTCTAGTCCATCTGTCTGTCTGTCGGTCTGTCATTGTGTTTCAGTTTGTCCTTCTTTTGGTCTTTTTGCCTCTCTCTTACTTACATCTTGTGCATAGTAAGTGTGCGTCGTACGGTTGCAAATTTCCAAACTGTGCATCCGGTGCAAGTGTTGAGGACTGCGATTGTGGTGAAGGGCACTGCGTAGACCACAATGGAGTCCCAGTAGTTGAATAGCGCCAGTTGTTCCTATGAAGGTGTGGAAATTTAAATAAATATATGTATCGATCGGAAGTTTAATCAATTTTTTTCACTCTTTCTCTCTTTCTCTGTAATTTGTTTTGATTAGATTTCGTTCGATTCATGCTGCACTCTGTGGCGTATGCGTAATTTTGTCGTTCGACCCTAACCTAATCTCCTGCGTTCTAGTGTTGCAAAACAGCTTAAATCAAATTAAAAGGCAAAAATCTACACAAGTTGAAAAAGCAGGTCGTTTTTTTTTTTGACGCCCAATGTTGAAATTTAAAAGCTGTGGCTAATAAAAGGGCGCCCAAAATAAATTGTACAGAGTATGTGCCAGTGTGTGGTATACTGGAATAACTGAATTCAAACTAGACGCCCATTTTAATTTACTAGAGAATTTAGAAAATACATTTTCATTTTCAACATGGAATAATGATTAAGGCAAAGACGAAAAATCCGGCATGGGGAATTAAAAAAATATCAAGGTTCCGAACAGCAATGCTGTAGTTCTAATACCATTACTTCGTAGTTCAAAGACTAACGTAATTTATTCGGGGTTGATTAGAAATAATTTATGGTGGATTAACCTTAAATTGTAGCCTCACTGTACCACTTCCGGCTGCCACTGTGCAGCACACATTATACTAAGCTTTTTCAGTGTGTCCTGCAGGTCGCGTACCACATTTTATGTTCATTTTCTGTGGCAAACTCAAATGCTACGTACGCTTATATATGGGGACATTAGGGTGTTTACATATTTGCATGAATTATAGTACATTTTGTTTATTTTCCTTTAATGTTTGATAAGTTTGATTATTCTGATTTTTCCCTTCAAAGTGTTTTCCAACAACAAAACCCGGATTTATATAAAATAACATCCCAATTAACATAATGAATCATTGATGCTTATCGAAATTTAGGTAATACAAAATTGTGGTCAAGAGCTTTTTACGCTACTCATAATGTTCGAGGAAACTTAAGTTAAGTCAAAACACTGAGATTATCTCTTCTATATGAACTCATTTTTAATAAGTTCGTTTATTTTTTCTGTATAGGGGTTTGTCACGTTTTTTTTTTTTTGTTTCCATTTTTGTTTGTTGTATTAGTTCGTAATAATTGTAATAAATTCAATATTATGTTTATGATTCGACCTTTTCACAAGATTATTTTTATACCCTGTACCCAAAGGGTACACAAGTATATTAGTTTTGTGCGAGTGTATATGTAATACACAGAAGGAGGCGTGGCAGACCCCACAAAGTATATATATTCTTGATCAGCATGACAAGCCGAGTCGATATAGCCATGTCCGTCTGTCTGTCTGTCCGTCTGTCTGTATGAACGCAAGGATCTCAGAAAGTATAAGAGCTAGAATAACTAAACTTGGAGAATCTAGATCTCTTGAGCACGAGAAAGGACGAGTTTGTTGAGCGTTCTCGACTTTAGCATTCCTTTCTTGTTTTTATTACCAATATTGTGAGTTTTATTTTTAAAGTTTTTTAGAGCCTACCTAACTTAATAAAAGTGTTTAAAAAGCTGAACTTGATTTGCGCCCATTCTGCACATGCACATGCATGTATGTATGTGGCAGCCATTAAAAAAAATTCTAAGCGGGTTATGTATTTTTATATTTGTTGCTCCTTTTGTGCATTTTTTTTTTGTACCACTATTTTCATATTTTAACTTGTTTCTTCCACTCTACTCTCCATTCTGGTTGTGTGCGTTTTTTTCTTAGAATTTTTTCTATCCTCATGCAAATGTTGTTTATTTTCATTATTGTCAGAGTTTTTTTGCTTTTCGCATTTTTTCTTCGCTTCAATATGTTTCTCGGTCATGGTTGTATGTATAGTACATGGTCTTGAAATATGAATGACAAGTATGCATAGGAATTTTACTTTAAGTTTAAACAGTTTTGAAAATATTGGCAGGATTTAATGTCGACTTTTACCCCAACACGTACACATCAATAAAACGATATGTAAATTTAATCACGAAGCACACATCGGTGGGTAAACAGCAACTAGGGAAGCGTAGTTAATACGACTAACAAGTTGGGTTTCCATCTAGCTCCTAATTAGAACCATGTTAATTAGAAACTTTGAGAATAGAAATGCAATGTGTTTGAGCAATTTTGTTGGGATTAAAGAAACGGCGTCCTTCAATTAAAGGTCCTTTCCTGCGGAACCAATAAATAAACTCAATGCAATTTAAGAAAAATAATGAGGCAATCGCCTTCGGGTCAAAAAATGCTGGCGCGCTCAAAATCAACAAGCAGCAGTAAAGATAATGTATTTTAAATACTGTGTTGTTGTAGTTGTTTTTTTTTTTTATTCCTTTGTGCACATTAACATAATAATTTGCCAGTAAGGCAGCTACTTAAACGTTGCAGCCGACCGGCCAGCGGCTGTGGAAATATTTAGCTGTTGTTGCTGTTGTTGTTGTTCTCACACTCTTCATAAATTATGTTAATATTTAAAAAGGTGCAGGAAAATAAAAACACAAACGAAAATGTGTGTCTGTTTTTCCGAATGTGCAAAAAATTTAATTTCCGCTAAAGCTGCTCAAAAATGGATAAATGAGTTAAAGTTGTCCACATAACTAAAGCTCATAACTGCAGGCAAACATTTTAATCTGTATCCAAAAGCAAATGCTTGTGCATGCATGTGCATGTGTAGATGCGAGCAGAATATTCATATGGATACATTATGTGTGTGTGTGTAGGAATGTTTACAGTTTGACATTTGATATGCTTGCGTTTCCGTTTGTCAAAGCTCTAATAAAGTCATTTATTAGTTGCCCTTGTGGCGAACTGGATAAAAGCGATATTGAATATGAAGTTAACTGTAGCTGTTACTCTGTTATAAGTTTAGAGTCGCACTCGCGTTCATACCTTATTTATATTTATACATATGTGACCAGAGTCCTTAGAGAACGTAAGCTCTTGCAAACACTGAGAGCTGCAGACCAAAAATTGTGGCAAAGAAATGTGGGCAAAACTTTTGAAAACATCAAATACAATCAGAGGAAGAATTGGGAAGAAACGTCACTAAAGATTTAAGAGAAGTTTGCAGTTGCTGTTTCATGAAATAAATAGTAAAATAACCTACAAGTACTATACTATAGTAAGCAGGCTTTCAATTTAGTAAAATCAACCATTGACAGAAGGATTGATTAAGGGGACCGATTATACAATTTTTTTAATATGATAAAAAATGTAACCATTATAAATATTAATCAATAATTCGAAATGCCATATAAGTATTGTGCAAAATATAAATCTATTTTCTCCGTACATAGGTTAAAATTGTTATTAAAATCCACACAAGATATTCGGGTAGATATGACATGCTTTCTCCAATCGCATTGCTTACAAATCGAATCTTCAGTTATGGCGACTCATTCATATCGTTAGAGTGTATTTGAAATGACCACAATATTCGAAAGCAAGCACTTAGCTGGATTTGGTTTCGTTTGGTGCTGTCAATGTCAGCTTTGGCAGTATATCCTGGCGCATAAATTGGAATTTTCGTTGTTGGCAACTTGCTAAGCGTTTCCGCTTATCGCATATGGTTCACAATGTCAACCATTGCCATCAAACTTATCTATTTAGCAGATGTCGTTAAAAATAAATTAAGTGGCCAGCACATAGTATGTATTTTTAATTTTGCGCCCTTTTAACAACCTAACAAGTGCAAATACGTTTTGGGAGAACCTTAAGTTGCCACGTGCTAGCTTTTTATGGACAAAATCCATCAATTGTGACTATCATAAAAGCCAAGTCTGAACGAGAACTTAAACGCACTGCCAGCAGGCAGCTGGCATGGATACTAAATTTATTTACTTTCCATTTATTTTTATTATTTTTTATGGGGATTTTCGCTCCATCTGAATGCTCCTCAATGCCCTCAAGGTTTCGCAGTTCATTTGTGGCACATTAAAGTTGTTTTTTTTTTTTGCGTCTTGTGGGTCAACAAGTAATAGCTCGTAAACTCAGAATCAACTCTAGTTATTGTTGTTGACTACATGGTTGCGTTGGGTTGCGTTTGGTTGGTTTGGGTTGTGTTTGGGAAAAGAGCCTTGTGGCCATTGTAATTTAAGTTATTCGGAACTTTACGTATTTCTGCAGCAAAATATTGTTTAAAACTCACAAGAATTATATTTTATTTTGCAAATAAATAGACCTTTTCTTCGTACTTTCTAATTCGACTTATTAACAGCTGCAAGGAAAAGCATTAAACTTGACCACCTTTCAAGCGCCAACGGGTAAACCGCTTTGTTTTTCTCGTCCTTTACACAGAAACTCAACAGTATTTGCATTTGCTGGATCTTGTGATGTGCCTTCCTCTCGTTTGTCATCTCGTCCTGCTGCTGAGCAACAGCTTCTGTCTGCAAATTTAAACATCCCGCCACTGTTTGCTTTATTTTGATTGGTATATTACTCATAATTACATTGTGAGGAAATTGGCTGACATTGTTGGGGCGTACAGTTGCTCTCAACATGTCTGTCTGCTTCGCACAGTTGCTAGGGGATATGAAGTCTCAGCTACGAATGCTGCTAGAATTTGCGTAATTTTTAATCATGTGAGCATGGCTTTTCATTTTGAAATGAAATGAGCATATGGGTATCCATCATTTAAAAAATTGTATTTTATTGAGGTCTGTGACCTTGTTTTTCCCCATTCCTAATTTCGTCGCCATGGCTTCAATCAATTGTTAAGAAAGACAAAAAAATTTTGTATATTTACCTATACAAGTATTGTTGATGGCTTTCAAAAAGAGAAGCCATTGGCCCATTTTTCAAAAGTAATGCCAGAATCATTGATAGCACTGATTTCAATCATTTAATGTTATTCCTATCCTAGTGTTATATCCTATCTATTAGTCATAGCTTCAAAATGTACTGCATTTCCACATTATGTGGTCTTTGGGAATAGAGCAGATTAACCTCTTTTATGAAGGAGAGCAGCTCTGTCATCTGATTACATGAAATATTATAAAATATGTGG